GACGATAAGGTGCCGCTAGCACAATTGCTGCTAGCAGATCAGGAATGCAATGAGGTTATTTAGAGAACTCAGCTCTTTGGAATGAAGATGTGTTTGATGACGGAACTGCATATGAACCCAGTAATGAAGTTGAGTCTTCAGATAGTAGCGAATGTCCTCACTACACTATATGTAGCTCGTAAAGAACTTAAATTAAATATAAGTATATTAATGAACAACAGCAAGTATATTATATGTATATTAATGAAAATTTTAAAAATAAAATATAAAAAAGTGAGGCTGATAGCACTAAAAAACAGGACAATAACTTCCTGTGGCTCGCAACAATAAAAATACATTAATTTTACAAACAATTTCTGTGGAAAAATTTATGAATTATATAAACCTTTTTGATATTTAAAATAATGTGATTTGATAACTAATGTATGTATTGAGCTATAGACAGCTTTTTAAACTTTTTAATTTATGTTAATAACAACTAAGGTAATAAATAACGGCCTTATTCATAAAAATTTCTTAAAATGCTTTTTAAATACATTTTAGTTAAAATGTATTTTAACTTTATAATGGCCTTATAATGCACATTATTCATAAACGTATTATAAACCTTTGATAACTATAATACAAATGTTAATAACATTACTGTTAAACACAAAACATTTTACAACACTGTGAGAAATATGAATTAATGCAGCACAAAAATAAAAATTTAAAAAATTTTTTAAGATTAATAAATCGTTATTTAATTTGCAATTTCATCAAAAGTTTTTTTCAATAAATGTTTTTAATATAACATTAGGTTTCTTTCGATTTGTTGAATTATCATCACATATTTCTTCACAGTCAGATAAGGAACTAAAGTTGATAGCCGCAGAAAAATTGTCATTATAAGGTATTTTGGAGTCATTTTCATTGTAAGTAACTGCAAAATTGTGCAATACTGCAGGTGCGACTATAACTGTTTTCGCATTCTCCAATGATATATTCAACCCATCTAGAAGGCAACGAAATCTTTGCTTCCACACACCAAAGCATCTTTCAATTGTATTTCTGGTGGCAATGTGTGCAGCATTGTATCGTTCTTCTTTTGCGTTTTGTGGTTTCAGTATTGGAGTGAATAGGTATGGTTGAAGTTTGTATCCTGAATCGCCAACCAAGCGCCCTTTGAATTTTCCTGCCTCTAACTGTTCTTTAAGAATTGACTCATCGAAAATCCGGCAGTCGTGCGTACTATCTCTCCATCTTGCGACTATATTGCAACTTTTTAAATTTGCATCACATATCACCTTCAAAATATAATTTGTTTTTTAATGTAAGTAAATATTTTAAAGCTACTAAAAATACGCACTTGTTCGTTTAATGAATAAAACCCTTTCCGATTTATATAATATTAGGAAATATCTCCACCCACTTTTTTAATTTTTATGTGCGCGCAATCAATTGCACCAATCACATTTGGAAAATTTTTTATGCGTTTGAAGCTTTTCATATTTGCTTCCTCTTCTATCAATGATTCTGGCATTTTAATCACAGTTGCGGCATGTTTTGCAAGAGCCCTAGCTACTCTAACGCAAATGCAACTGACTGTAGCCTGGCTAAGGCCGTGTAAATCACCTGCATCTTCTTGTACCTTTTATATTAAAAGCTTTTAGTAAGTAATAGTATTTGAAAAAGATTAGTTACTTCTCTACGACTCCAACATCGCAAAGCTACTAGAACTTATAATCTTGCGGAAGTTCCAGCGCCTCTACTATCAAACGTGAAGTCCTGTTTCACCAAGTCAGTTATCTTTTCTACACCCTTTTTTGAAAATCGTTTGAAATTCATCATCACGCAGCATAAACGGATCTCCACGTTGTTTATATATTTTTAAATTAAATTAAATACTCTCCAATTTCTTTAATTATGCTTATGGCATCCATATTTAATTGTAATTCACCCAATAAAAATTACTACACAATCAAAAATTTTGCTTAAAATGCTGTTATAGAAGGTATAAACCTATTATAAATTTTGACATATTTTAACAGCATTTTAACAGCATTTTAACTTTAAAATACGTTTATGAATAGAGTTTTATAAATGCTTTATAACACTGTTAAATAACGTTTATGAATAACATTTTTGATAAAATGTATTACAAACCTACTATAACTTTTTATGAATAAGGCCGTAAGTAAATAGAATTAATTTTAGTTATTTTAACTTAACTTTTTCGGTTATAATTTTTGAAATATATCAATTTGCACAGAGAAAGAAAGTAAATTTTTTAATACCTCGTTTTTCTAACAAACACTTTCGGATATATAATCATAAGTAATATAATTTTTTATACACTTATTTAAATTACAATAATTTTCAACCATTTTGTCTGCCTAAAACCATAAATACAAAAATATATATATAAATTATCATCCAAAGCATTTACTTTAGACATTTTTCTTTGCAATTCAAAGCCAAATTTTATTTATTTTTTACGTAATTTGATCGAATTTATCTGAGTTTATATTTCCTATGCTAATTTCCTGTTAAAGATTGAATAAATACAAAAACCCAATAATATGAAAAAGGCAATAAAAAAAGTAAACCACAACAAATTTTCAAATTGTTTACGCAGAATATGGCATTAAAAATCTAAGTTCTCATATTTACTAACTGACTGCAGAAGTATAAACATGATGAACTCTGACTACTTGGCTGCCTGCCTGTCTATTGTTGGTCTATCCATCTTGCTAGTGGTCCGGCATATGAGTATATATGTGCACGGAATCATAATATTGAACTATATCTTTTGAATTTGCAAATTGTAAAAATATATTTCCACATACTTTTATGCTTCGTTAAACATTTTGTACGAGCTTAGGAAAACAAAAAACAAAAAACAAAAAAAAAATACAAAAATACCTAAAAACATTGAAATCCGTATTCAGAAAATAAACTTTTCAATATGCATATACGTACATATCGTATATGGAAATTGACTCTTTCGAGATACTCTGCCGCATGTATTCTAGATTAAATACTTTTAAACAAATGCCAAATACTGATGGGGGCACCACTGTAGCAGGGTGAGAACATATTGTAAACTGTGCACAAATATTGCTAATGTGGAAACTGAAATTGATGATGCTATCATGTTTTTATTTGTTTTACTTTTTTCGAATTTTGCATATATAAAATGTTTAGTGAATTCTAAACTACAGTAGAAGTGATAATATTCTAGTTTCTTTAAAAAATATTCCTCTTTTGTCAATATTTAATAATAAAATCGATTTACAACAGGGGTTCGAACCGAATATGAACCGAAAGAAAACCGCTTCACCCGGAACAGAACCAACATATTTTTTTTTTTATTAAAAAAAAATTTAAAATATTAATTTATATTTATTTAATTTTAAAAAGAAGATTTTAAAGAAACTCAATCAAAAATCTCCTTTTGCACTAGTGTACCACATGATCCAATAAGTCCGGTCTAACTCCCATACATATATGACAACACTGTTAACAAATATAAAAAAGTCCACAAACAGTAAAGTAAAGTGAGATAAGTCCGGTCTAACCTCCATACATATATGACAACACTGTTAACAAATATAAAAAAGTCCACAAACAGTAAAGTAAAGTTAAGTGAGATAATTCGTACTTTAAAGATATCCAAAGGAAATATGTTCTCAATTTCGCACAAAAATTTGTAAATGTTTAAGTTGCTTTCGAAGTGGGTTCCCCGAACAAAACTACTGGACAAAACAACTGGAACAAAACGATAGCTAATTTGAATAAATTGCGCTTTTAATTGTTGGCCTCCAAATAAGGCACACCCATTGACTACTAGTTTTTCACGGATAAAATTAATTTTCTTGGCTACACCAAAGATTGTTGACTAATGTGTTGTATAATATATGAATATATAGCTTAGACGAATAAAACTACTAATGGGTCCATTAAAAAGAAATGTTGTATACAATATATATAAATATATTTATCAAGAATACAAAAACTCCTTTAAGTAACTACTTTCAAAATTTTAACCTAAAAATTTGTAAAATATATGACTATGATATAGTCATACGTTATTACATTTGATTTTAACATCAATATGACGGTAATGACTTTATGATCTTATCTAATCAAAACTATTGTATTTAATAGAGAGGTTTCAGGTTAGTTGCAATCTCAAAAAATTATTTACGAAATATTAAATATAAGAAATAATTCCAAGACCCACTGATGATGGGTATATTGGCAATAATCGAAACAGCTATATGGACAGCCAAAAATTAAATTAATTAAAATAATATAATAAGAATTTTTGTTGTAGTTCACTACTTTTCGAAACCTTTCTAGTAAAAAGATTTTATTAAAACAAATAACTAATTCAATTTTGTTAAATTAATGAATAAAGTACTCCATATATTGAAAAGTTTACCCTTAAACCTTGTAACAAAAATGAGTAATAGAAAGCTGTGAATTAAATTACTATAATTGATTCCAATATTTATATAGAATTTTAACATACATTTTATGAATATTTTAAAAAGTATATTAGATTAAAATAGAACGAAGGACCTAGCAGTCCAGTTCCTTATTTTTAGTTAACTTTAAAATTAATTTTAACGTTAACTTATAATAATAATGATAAGTAATAAATAAGATTTTATTAGAAATTTATATATATATGTTTATATGTGAATAAATTTTCTTAATCATCAATATTTTTCGCCATCACTGTATTAAGCATCACTAAGAAGTTGCATTTGATTTTTATTATAAATCCATTTCGACTTTAGTTTCATCTGCCGCATGTACTTAAAATTTGCTTACAATAGCGAAATATTGCCAATAATTAAAACAATTTTTCTGTCTCTGTATATTAAACTATACATAACATACAAAATTAATTTTAATTAGAAATTTAAAACAATAATGAATTTTCACAGTAATTATAAGTATTTAATTATATAATTATAAATTTTATAAACATTTTTATTTTATAATTTCAGGCTCCATCATGTTTCATGTGAGAAGACGTCCAGCAGACTCACAGCCACGGCGACGTAAGAAAAAGCCCTTAGGCGCATCAAATGGGACCAATAGTATATCAAGTGATCGCGAGGGACCAGTCTTAGTTGAAGTAACACACAGTGGCGACGGAGGAAGACGTATTAAACTGAGCAATGATCCTGTTGAAGTAAGAATTGTTTAATAATTATATTTATTATTTATTTAATTGGCGCTAATTTTAAAATTAAACTTTTATTTAAATAAATCAAATATTTTTAGTAAACTCGTTTCCTTAAAACATTTTGTTAATTATTATTTTATTAATTATTTAATATTTAATTAATCCATATAGGTTGGTTCAGCTAATACAAATTGTCTGCAATTATTCGGGCCTTCCATACAACCACGTCATTGTCTCATATCTCTGTTGGAAGGTGTATGCACAGTTACGCCTCTTCACACCGACGCCTTAACATTTGTTAATGGACATCATATAACACAACCAACTATTTTGCATGTAAGTTATTAGTTATTGTATAATTACAGTTAAAGTATGTAATGCCTATATCGAAATTTCCAATTCACATTTCAACTATATAACATATTTTGACGTGTTTACAAAATTTTTCCTACTAATCCACATATATTCACTATCCATTAGTTTACCTTATTTTCATTTGTATATTTAAATGCTTTAAAACAAATAACGTCAGGCAGTAATGACGTTATTTGTTTTATAAATTCTTCTTGTATGAAAATATACAATGTTACATATTTTTTGATGTGTGTATGATTAGGCAAATGCATTTGTATTGTTAACTTTTTCTAGCTTTTAACTAATTATTTAATATGCAGCACGTACATGACTTTTAAGTTTAGTTGCCTTATAAAGCCATTAATAATAATTTGACATTAGGCCCACATTTCATGGTCAGGATGACCTTTACTAATTGCAGAGGATATTTTATTTCGTAAGTCCTACAGTTGTTTTCAGGTTTGAGTAAACTGCGTCAATAAGCAATTTTCAGCATTTTTTTAAGTACAATTTAAGTACCTCACCCCATACTCTTTTTTCAATTATGAATATTGTAAGAGTTTATATAAAATTATTGCTACTATGCTACAATTATTACTAAGTAATGCTACTTATTAATGATGTGAAAAATTCTATAATGGTTTTTAAAATTGTAATTACTTTATTCAATTTTAGAACTGAAATATGGCATTTTGTATGACATGGTTGAGTCAATATAAATCACAATAAGATCAAAATCGATTAAATTTTAATTAATTATATTTTTGAAATTGATTAAATTTTTAAATTATTGTATACGTTTGCTTTTATTTCTTCATTATTGTCTAGCACTTTTTTGCTTTTTCTGGTGCTGTTAGTTGACTCCTCGAATCTGAAGTATTGGAATATATAACATATCTATCAGGACTTTGAACCAGAATTTTTCATAACAAAACAAAATATCACGATTCGATTACAGTTTTCACTCCGGCAAAAAACATAATTTTTATCGGTGCGGTTCCAGTTCAAAGTCCTAAAATAAATTATGAAAAATTTATAAAATAAATTATTTCCTATCTCGATTCAATAATTTGTTGCATTATAATTCTAAATTAAATGATGTAGTTAACATATGTTTTGTGCAAATATTTCTCATTTAAGGCATAATTTGATTCACTTGAAAGTATATTTAAATAAAAATAAATAAATAAAAATCAACAACTGAAGGAAAATTCACGTAAATGAACAGATACCGAACTATATTGTGCTAAACCGCTATATTTTTTTCGGTTTAGTTCCGATTTTCGTTCCAGCAAAAAAATAGTTTTTTTTTTGGTTCGGTTCTGATTCGAAGCCCTGATATTTATAACACTTATAATATTTATACACTTATAACACTTATAAAGGAAACGTTGCGATCAAGAAAAAATTTTCGAATTAAGAGCACTTCTAGCTATAGCAAGTGCAGTTCGCATTCCTGTGGAATAATGTTTATAAAATAACAGAACTTTGAAATATGCAAAAAAAAAATTATAAAGAAAAAACGAAAATTTCACATAAAGTGCAAAAATATATTTGACATTATGTTGAATGATATTTAAAAACCATTGAACTATTGAAGTCTCTATGATATAAAGTTTTTTTTCAAATGGCCTCTTCTTTGATAATCGAGATAGTTGCTATCAATAATTCTTCACCACTTGCTTTAGATTCTTTTCATTTCTTTGATCAAGGAATCATCTCCTCCATTCATATTATATTATTAGAAACTATATGTACAACAAATATATAGCATTTCTTTTTATTTTATATTTCTTTACATATAGCCTAGCAGTTCGTTTCAGGGTTAGGAAATATAGCTGCGTTCTAAAGACAGCCATATATAATAATAGCACAGATATGTTATATTATTTTATAGTTAGTTTTTTTATTGAAGATTTTTTCCTATCGTGAAATGTATTTAATGAATAGCTTAAATAACAACGCTTAGATAGTTTCGTGTTATAATATTAAACTTAATTTGATTTTACCATTGTACTAACCTTTTTGACCATCGTCAATTAATTCTTGGACATTAATTCCTAAAACATTTTATTGTTACTTAATTAAATAGAAGTTTATTTTAGTTGATCATTCATTTATTACGAGTATGTTATTATTTTGTCTCATTTTCATTTGTTTATAAAAAAAAGAATATAATTTTCTCACATGTAACTTGGCGCGTTATTTTTGTATCTAAACATAATAACTTTTATATAGTTTACTTAACTAATATCATAAATCCATGTGCAAATCGACTAAACCTTTAAAGCCAAACGCAATAAAATTTTCAACTGATTTAAGCAATCGTTAACGGCTCGCTGAACTTTAATGTTCCAATAGTCCAAATTCAAAAAAACTTTATTCCAAATCCAAAGAAAGTACAATTTTATTGACACCGGGACAAATCCGTCGTTTATTTCAAACTTTATTTGCGTAACTCAGATTGGAATACTAAACTTGACTTTAAATTAAACAAATAAACAATATCTGATGTGTGTAGAACAAAACAGATTTTTATAGACATCTTTATAAAATTTGTTTCATTTGTTTTATTTTTTTATTTATTTTATACAAACAATAAATACAGATAATGTTATATTATTGTTTCCTAATTAGAGAGGGGCGTATGTGCTATTATGCGTTATTCTATAGCGTAGCTCTGTGTTCTAAACTCAAAGTTGATGCAACATTTTGGACAAGCAAAAACACTGTATTTGATAAACGGAGGGCGTTTCAGTCAATATTTAAAATTCGTGTGAATTGGTTGTATCGATATTAAAGCAATAGTTTTAAATAAAATAATTAATTATAAGTTTTGTCTTTTTTTTTGATCAATTGCAAAACGCGTTGAATTGTTAAAAAAAATATTTACTCCTTATTTTACATAGAACGGTTCTGTGGTCATGTTTGGACGTGTTGCTTCATATCGCTTTGTGGACTCACCTACTGATGGACGCTATAATCTAGCTTTGTCACAATCACAATTGGACTCTGCTTGCTTATATGAAAGGTGAGTGAACTTCTATCGAATATTATATGTTTTGTAATATATATATTTTACTAATATAAAAAGCTAAGCTATATGTTGTTATAATTCAAAATAGTTTATATGTTGTAAATATATATCTTATATGCTAAATCCTCGCTATAAAATATTATGAAGTTAACAGAAAGATTTTTGAACTATCAAATAATTTACGAATAAACAAATATATTAATTTTGCATAATCAATATGTAGTCAATACAGTCAATATAATCAACATAAAATTTTAACTCAAACATTCATGATGTCCTATTGGTATCTACACCCCAATTGTATTAAGTTAAAACCTTGTTAAGAAATTATAAATGAAAAATCTAATACAAATAGGGAGAAATGAGTCTTACAGTAGTTTTACTTACAGGTCACTGTATTTTAGGTTAACATGCTAAGAGAGTAAATTTCCCTTTCAACCATACCAGCAGCAGTTGTGGAGAGTACGATAAAACTGTCTCCTATCTGCTGTGCTTCTGTCCAGCACATACGCGGCGCCGCTTTTTTACTTTAGGGGCTTTCTTTTTCGAGAATCTTGGCGAACTGCAAGACCCCCTTCTGAAGCTTTGTCAAAGGTTCTTATTGGTTTTAACCCTTAAGTTTTTAATTATACGGTAACACAATGGACCTATAGGCCTTAGTGGATCTCTTGGGATAAACCTTATAAAAGGTTTATATTTTAAATGTTATATATATTTTTAAAATAATGAATTAAATACTGCTACAAGAACTAAAGACGTTCATCAATTTTTAGTGCGTTCTTTAATACACAAAATGATTGCAGAACATATTTACTTTGGTTGCAAAGTACAACCCAATAGCTTTTAGCTGGTAATAACAATACAAAACTTATTTCCCTTAACACCAAAATAAAGACTAACAGATATTTTCTGATATAGCTTTAAAAGACCTCAACTTACAGATATTTACACTTAAATTATTCGCATTATATACTACTATCATATAACGTTAATCTATGTACCAAAAAATGTACAATCTTGAAAAAAAAAATGGATTTTGTGAAAGATAGATGAAAGCCTTCATAGTCAATTGCTTCATAAATAAACAAATCATTAAATACAAGATAAATAATATATTGAAATATTCATAAATGTATGTAACTTTATACTAGAAATTCAAAAATCCTTCTGGATGCTTCTTAATGACTACTATGATTTAATCTAGTTTTGCTTTTTCATTCAATTATTTTAATGTTGATTTATTTTTCTTTCTTTAACGTTGAATTTTTTGTGTTGTTTTTGTGTTATATTTGTGTTGTCACACATTTTATCATGCACTTAACTTATCGACACACTTAACATTAACACACCTCCACACGAAATTCCGATTATAACAATCCTCACCATACGCAACAATAAACCTAGCAGTCGTTCACCAACTTCGCCAGGTTCCTGGAACGATGATGATGGTGCACTCAGTTCGGTAAGTATTTTATATTATTTTTTTCATATGATTTTGATTACTAAACTTTTATTTTTTATTAATTTTTTATATTAAAAATTTAATTTTGTAAAATCGCAAAAAAAAATAAATGAAACAGACACAAAAAAGTGATTATGAACAAAATCATATTGGGAACAACAACGCCAATAACAGTAACAATAATGGTGGTATAAGCGGTAATTCTGAGAATTCTCCAAATTTACGAGATTCTGAAGAGAGTAAGTTTCCACGCAACAACAGTGATCATCACTCAGGTCATATAGGCTATGATGGTCAGAGTGTTGAAGGTAATCTGGAGAACGAAACGAAGTCAATTTCGAGTTTAAAATCTGCTGGTTCCAATAGTCAGGACAGGTAAAAGAAAAATTCTTAAACAATTCTTAATTAAAAATAATGTCTTTTAATAAAAAAAGGAAATATCTGATAACTGCTAAATTCAACAATTAAAATACAAATCACTTTTTCTCTTACATTATCATTTAAGATCATTTTAACTCATTTCTGTATTGTTATTTTTTAAATAATATATTATTTATTTTAATGTAAACATTTTTACTTTTTTTCGTTTTATATATTCGTATAATTATTTCCATTTTGTATTAACTTAAGTATGTATTTGTGCTAAAAACTTCAAGAACCTATTTAGTATATTCATATTCAATATGTAAAAATATTATAATAGTCCAATGTACATAAATAGAAATAAACTAATTTTGTTACTATATTTAAGTTCTCACTTTAGAACACCAAAATTGCCACCCACAACTAGCAGCACTGATAACCAAGGACAGGAACCAATTTTACCCGCCGTTTTGGAATTTCCTGAAACTCATCAAGAGTTATTTCTAAGACACATCATAAGTGAATTGGATGTGAATGCGCCACATTTTAAGTTAGCTCCTGTCTATTCGTTGTATTTGTGTGCCAGGTAAGTTTTTGCAATTCGAGTACTCTATTAAACTTATTTTTGACATGTACCAACACAGCATGTTTTAAAACATCTACTAACTTCCGTTGCTGCTTTTTTGATATTGTATGGGAATATGGTTTTTGTTCGCATGTTCATTGCCTCATTGCCTGCCTGCCTTGTTCTATTGAAACTTTATGCGCTTTAACATACCAACCTGCCAACCTACTCCCACTGCTATTCAATAGAAAAAAAGTGAAAAATACTAATAAAATCAAAAGTTTTCAAAACTAACTTTTAAAAGTTCTGCTACTACTCACTTGCGTTTCTGAAAACTGAAAATCTGTGTCCGTGTCAAGTTTCGCATTCCAAATCACAGTTTTCCATGTTTGAAAAATCTGCTGCATTTTAAATATTTATAAAATATTAGCATTATGTTACTCTACGAATTTTATTTTATTTTTGTTTCTTTCAGAATAACTTAGTAGCACCACTAGGTATAGTTAACTATTCAATAGCTAAAATTTGCATAGAAATTTTTATTTTTGCGCAAATAAAACAAAAAATATACGTTTTGAAAATATAAACATTTATTGCATATATTTTATTTAATAAATATTATAGTATATGCGCAATTATTTTTATACATATAAAATATGTATAAATATATAAATACGATAGTGTCGCAAATGCTTCACTCATATATCGACATTGTGTTTTTAATAATAAAATAAATCTTAAATTGGTCATATTTCGGAAATGTTTTATATTTTTATATTTTCATGTACATTTTTACATTTAAAATGTAAATGTAAAAATTTAATTTAACATGTAAAATAAAACTATGTAGATTGAACATTGAAAATATTTATAGTAATTTTTTACAGAAATTTGTCTTATTTTTATTTCGCGACTTAAGTGCAGTTAATTTAGCAGTTCAAGCAAAAACATAGAAATTTCTATGTTTTTGCTTCTAGTACAAATAAGTAGCGGTTTTTTTCATTAATTTATTCCGTGTTTGTATTGCAATTAATATAGTAAATTTTTAAATTTATGAATTTAATTTTAATGAACTTGTTACCTTTTTATTAATTATAATATTTTACAAAAATTAATGTATAAAAATATGTCACAACGTTGTGGCATTTCAGTATAATTTCGTAATTTTCGTGTGTAGTGTTGGTGGTTGCCATATGGATCACCACAAACTATAAAAAATCTACAATTGTTTTAAGTGTTTTTACAAGTATGTAAAAGCATCAAACACTCTTTAACAATAGTTAAAGTTTAATTACTCTTAATTTATTCGAACAATTTATTTAGATCAACTTAATTTCGATTACACTCAGTTCATTGTAATTAGTAACTATTTTCTAAATTTGGTTTAGACATCTTATACTCATAAGAAGTTGTTGTTGTTGTAACCCACTGCGACCTGCTTTTGAAGTCCTTTTGGGAGGTGTCGAACAGCACTTAGTTGTCGCTGGCGACGAGTGACTCCGGGACGTAGATCCGGCCGTTCTTGAAACTGTTTATACGAACTAAATACCAGCGGTGTTAAACGTTTTAATACCATAAAATTGTACAATGTACATATTATGTGCAACCATAAACCAGTTAAAATATCAGCTCACTTTCTTTTTAACTATTCATCTTGATCTGACGCCAGCAGAAGAATAATGGGCCCAAAGTTAATTTTCCCATCTGATATCTTACCAACAGAGAACCTGGATTCCATTTAAAAGACAAAATATTTTCTGTTCAAAAACAGTAATCAACTATATTCAGTTATTAGCAGAGAATAAATAACATGAACGTTATATACTGCTGCAATAGAAGCCCAGTTATAATATCCAGTTTATTTGTCTCCACAATTTCTGAATTGTTTATATTCTTTCATTTTGAAACATGATCAATTTCATCGCAAAAAATATATTAGAATACTTTTAAATTATAATAAGATGAATTCCACATAAGTTTCATTGAAACTCGTATATCTTTATAACATCATAAAAATACATTTATTTTCAAAAAAAATACATTTATTTTATTGTATTTATTTTAAAAAATACATTTATTTTAAAATTATCATTTGTATAATAATTTTTCTTCGCTATTTAGATACCGCGCATCAACACATTACCGTCCAGAACTGCAACCAACGGAACGTGCGCATAAGCTGACGATTTTCTTACATCATGTAGCCAATCTTATATATAGTGTGGTACAAGAACAATACTCAGATCCACGCATACTAGCTTTCTGGATGGCAAATAGCTCAGAATTTTTACATTTTCTTAAATCCGATCGTCATATAAGCGCGTTCAGTGTACAAGCGCAAGAGGTACTGGCCGAAAGCGTACAAACGGCATTTCGCAATTTAGTGAATTGTTTCCGTCTTGAGCTCTCACAAACACTTAATCAATTTCTGTCCGAAACAATTGCGCATGACTCTGCTGCTGGATTGGTCTTAACAGTTCTGGGTTCAGCAATGGCACTGTTACGCCGTTGTCGCGTCAATGCAGCACTGACCATACAATTGTTCTCACAACTATTCCACTACATCAATGTTATATGCTTTAATACGGTGAGCATAGAAAGTTTGTTGATTTTTTTAACATTTTATTTCCTTAATATAATTTTGTATTTAATTTACTTTTAATTTAATAATATTTCTAAACGAAATCTATTGTATTTAGATTGTGGCTAATTCACATATGTGCACAGCGGAGTGGGGTAAAGTGATGATTGAACGTCTGCAATTGCTTGAACTTTGGGCCGAACGTCAGGGACTTGAACTAGCGGCCGATTGTCATTTAGCAAAAATAAATCAATGTGCACAATTTCTGCAAGCACCAAAAACTTCCGTAGAGGAGATACAACAGTTGGCGTGCACTTGCTTTCGTTTAAACTCACTTCAAATGGCTGCGTTGTTGCAACAAGAAAAAATACCCAGAAACTTGGTTGATACTGCTATACGTATGGCTGAGTCTGTAGCCGATGAGCTAACACGTGCCGATGGTCGTGAAGTGCGTTTAGAAGAATCACCAGAATTACATTTAGCTCTGCTATTACCTGACGATGGATTTAGTTGTGATGTCGTACGTGGTATACCATCTGGATTAGTAGATTTCTTAAATCCATTACAACAGCAAGGCATGTGTCGTTTGGCTGCTCAGCCAACGTCAATTGGTTTATGGACCGTATATATGCATCAATTTAATGTAAGTGCATTTATGGTATATATTATATTAAGTATATATTTAATAATAAAATTGTCCTGATTTTAAAATGAAAATATTTCAGGCGCGATCATCTAGTTCTATGTCTAACAAATTACCCCAACCCGAAGTTCAAGTTATTAAGCTACATAAAAATTCAAGTGGCATGGGTTTATCGATTGTTGCTGCAAAAGGTGCAGGCCAAGAGCGATTAGGTATCTATATTAAAAGTGTTGTACCTGGTGGTGCAGCTGATGCAGACGGACGCTTACAAGCAGGTGATCAACTACTACGTGTGGATGGTCAAAGTTTGATAGGCATAACACAGGAAAGGTATGTTCATCAAAAACAATATATATACTTTAAATAATTCCTTTATATAATTTAGAGCTGCGGATTATTTGGTGCGCACAGGACCAGTTGTTACATTAGAAGTAGCAAAACAAGGCGCGATATATCATGGCTTAGCTACACTTTTACAACAACCTAGCCCAGTTATTCAACGTGGTATGTAATATGCCAAAATCAGTATTTAATGGTGATGGATTATTATTTGTGTTTGTTTACAATGTTTTTAAAACGCAAGAAATGAAAAATTTTAACACTTTTTTGAACCAAGAGCAAAATATTATAATAAAAATTAAAACTCATATTTAAAAAATTGTAAAACATTTTTACCTTTCTAAATTATTATATAAATTTAAGTGTTTATAATTTTATTATTTCATACTATTTATTTATTTATACTTTTATTTATATGATTTATTTATTATACTAATTTTTTTTATTTACTTAAATATATTGATTTTTAATAGCAATTATTTTTTTTAATTTATTATGTTTTTAACTAACTTATTTAAAATTGGCATTTATAACCCTCTTATATTAACTTTTTAAATAAAATTATGTATTTTTATTTTAATGTCATCTTGCGAAAAAAAAATTAGTAATAAAATAAAAAAATAAAAAAATGAAATTTACTTTAATTAAAAAAGAGATATGCATATTTAATTACATTGCATTGACAAGCAGACAAAATAAGGTCTTAAACAAATATAATTGTTCAAACCTCCAAAAAATAATAATTGTTTAACTCTTGGTTTATTAAATATATAAAGCATATGAAGCAAAAAATGTTACAGAAGTTAAATATTTTTCATTTCTAATAATATTTTATAAACTTTAGTTCATTTATTTTTTTAATTAGTGTTACTTTAGACATTTTTATATATGCCTAGTTCTATACACTAATTGCTAATCGCTTCTTACCTAAATTACCATTACATGCTGCCATTACTATAATTAACCCAACTAATATTTTAAATAAAAAAAAGATTTGGAACCAAAATATCAACTTGAGCAACGTCGCCATTCTTACCACCATCAGAATCGTTATCTAGCTTCAGTATCTGATGATAGTCTTAATCGTAGTAGACGTGAATCATTTGCTGCTTTACGCTCCTCGTCGCCACCAGTACGTCGTTTAAGTGCTTCTTCACTGCAGGAAGAACTTTGTGCCCAAGGTCATCAACTGCACATTGATCCAAGGTATCGCGACACACGTCCAATAGCTAAATCTGCTAGCAGTTTATATTTATCTAACGAAACCAATTTGAACAATAATTTTCAAAACAGTCCAAAACGTTTGCGTGCGAATAGTACTTGCATAACCAACGCTACCCCTCCACCGTCTATCTACATTGAGGAATATACAGATCCTGAGCCAGATAATACTGTTAAACGTGCTTCAAATGAATCATTTACGAATTTTTGTTATAATGAAGCACATCAACCATTAAATGAAGATGGTATCGCCTCCGTAGCAGATTCGGATGAAATTCCCTTCATAGACGATGGTTCACCAACAGAGGAAGTTAAACCTTATGTTCCACAGCATGTACAAACTAAAACTAATAAAACCAGCACTGGTATTATAAGCAATGTGCGTCGTAATCCAGTTGCGGGTTATCGCAAAACTGTCAGTTTTGATTTAGAAGAGACCCAAGCCCGCAGACGTGAAAGTATATCTTTAGATCGTGAATCAGTTATGAATCGAAAGTTTCATACACATGATGCTATAAGCAAGGTTTGTAGTGGCGGTACTACTAGTAATCGATCATCAAATGATTCTTTGGATAAAGAAAAAATTCCTTTAATACAAAAAATACGTCGTGAACTGAATTCGTACCGTTCAACATCAGGTAGTGGTAATAATTCTGGTAGTGGCTCAAACAGCAATCGTTCCTCTACTGAATCTGTAGAGAAAATGCCTTTGCTTTCTAGACAAACAAAAGATATTAATCTAAATTCTACAACGAAACCAAAAAGAGAACTAAATGCTAATCGATCTACTTCTGGTGGTGGCCTAAATGGAAATCAACGTTTTAATCAAAATAAAAGGTCTGCCGTTATGCCAAATTCTTTTAATTTAAATACAACAACAAGCACGATTACTTCAGCTTCTTTTTCTAAAGCACCTACTAAACCAGCTGCTTCTTCAAAAGCCGCTACAACTAATACAATTGTTACTATAAAAGTTCCTAAAATATGTGAAATTGAAAGTTCCTCCGAAACTGTACATAATTATTGTCCTGTTCGTTCACATAGTCATGCCAATATATACTTTCCCGCCTGTTATTCCTTCAGTAATTCAGCTGCAAATCTCGAAGTTAGCACGGCTTATGAAAACCTAATTACCACAAAACTAACCAAAAGCAACGAACCTCAAACTGAGCAACAAAAATTTATGAAACCATTTGGTAAGGGTAAGGTGCGAGAAATGGCAGATTATTTTGAACGTAATGAAACATTAAGACCAGTTCAACAATTACAACGACTAATGACGAATACATATTCCAAATCGACATCAAATCTAACTACTAAACAAAGTGACAACCAAAAAAATGCCAAAAAATTAAGCAAAGAGGAACAAATGGAGATATTAAAACAGCTAAAAGAATGGAGTTTATATGGCACCAGCGGCAAAGATTATAATATAAAACTTAAATCCGAAACTGAAACTGAAATTGAAACTGATAATAGTACCTGCCAATCCAATGTTAATTTTAATTTACCTTCGAACGAACAAAACTCTAAACAACGACTTAATGTATATTCTGCCTTAGCACAAAAACCATCACCACCATTATTATCATCATCACCAAAAATGTCATCACAAACAACAAATACGACACCTACACTTTTATCATCAAATATATTACCACGAAAATTATCTATATGCACTTCTGTAACGTGTGACTGTCCATGTTGTGCCAATTGTAAACAAAATGAAATTCATACAACCATCACCAAATCCGATAATAACACCAATACCATAAATATAAATTCTGCTACGCCTTCATTTAAATGCTATGATAGTTGCCCAGACCTAGAATTAACTGAATTACAACGTCGTCCTAGCATAATGATCACTTCCAAAACAAATACCGTGCGTAATATTAAACGAAAACAAGAGAAGAAATTACAAGAACACCAGAAATCAAAGAAAGAAAATTTAGTTGGTCCAAAATTCTTACTCTCCCTTGCTACTGATAGTGGTTCCGCTACTGCTTCCGCTTCTGCAAATATTTCAAACACAAATTGTCCTCATTGTAGTGTATCGCAGACCGACGATGACGATGAGTATGGCAACAACTCTGATGATTCAGGGAATGCCAAACCGAGATGACAACAAAATGCACAGAGGTTGTTTCTTCGTGTATTGAATACTTAAATTTAGTAGTTTTTTTTTTGCTGATAATTTAGTGCATTTAATATTATTTTAAACGAATTTTAAGAGATTTGTTAGGGTTGAAAAAATCTGCACTTAAGTTATTAGTGATATATTTTTCTTTTTGCATGACGCTTTATTTTTTTTCTCACTCCAAATAGTATTTGAGCAAACCCTTCGGGAGATTAAAACTATGAACATATATTGAGGAAAGCTTAAACTGGATTATATATAATTACTAATGCAATATAAAACACAATTACTCTATATTGCCTACAGATGACTACAAAAAAAATTTATTTAAAAAAGTAAATAACTGAATATAAAACTCTAGCATTCCCTACTGCCTTTAAAAGACTATATGTATTTTTAACTGAAATCTTTCATTTATGTAGTAAGAAAATATTTGGTAATAATTTAATTTATTACTTCACAACTCGTCCACTTTGTAGTTTTTGACACCCATTTTAATTAAATTATACAGGTATACTTCTATATATACCTTTTTGTGCTATCTAAAATATAATACATAATTAGTAATGTATATTTTTGCTTTTATTATAAATTCATGGACGTCAAATTCTTTAATAACTATTTGATGTCATTCAACTTAAGATTCTACATTTAAGACACGATGTTATAATCGGTATATATAGTATATATTTTATACATTCAAAGTTTGATTCTTATTTAAAAAAATAAACTTGTTATTAATTTTAAAATAGAATTGAAACTTTAAAACTGTAAGGAGTGTGCAGATTTAATCTACACTCAGTTGATACCAGGATTATATAGATATTACCAATAAACCAATAAGTCTGTTATACCGTTAGTAACGCTAAGGGAAGACTTGATTTTGATAAACGCTTTGAGTTTTTTTTTAATTCACCTTCATATTTTATTGCCGAACATTTATAATTGATTCATGCCAAAAAACTTTCTTCTCAGAAATATTTTCTTAAAACCCAACCTTGTATGAAATTCAGGCACCCTACCAGCCCATAGTTTAGTTTCAAATCATTTAAACAAGTTAGCAAATTACTTGTTAAAGTATGACTTAAAAACATTATGTGTAATTTTATTTTCTATACATATTTACATTTTTTTTCTGCTTTACTTGTAAACTACTGTGTATCAATGCTTAAAGCTTTTAATTGTACATATATATTTTTATATTTAAAATTCTTTTAATGTACTTATTTCCTCTCTCACTTATACATATATACAACTTATATATATATTTAATATTATCCTTAAAGCACTTACTAATCATATTGTAATATTTTTCATTTCTTTTCCATAACAATATATATACCATCGATCCATTTGGTCACATACTACGCTTAACATACTTTGCAACACAAAAATAAAATGTAAAAACCATTGCCCGTTTTCATCACTATAACTAATATAATCTTCTATATACCACCTCATCCACGTCCTAAAAATGAAAACAGGTAATCGCCGCATGTCTGAACGTGATTTAACACGTATGGGTGCTGATTCCAAACACATTGGTCCCCTCATAACTAATACAACACAATTACAAAATAGTAAATCGGTACCAGCATTGCATCACCATAGTGGAAGTGGTACTATTTGTAAGTTGTCAATTGTCCAATATCCATTCCTATTAGTTATCTATTCCTATTAGATATCTATCTATATATCCTACTATATGTATATACTATATATTTATATATTCGTATATATAATTCAATACAAAAATATATATATACCGTACTATTTTTAAATATATTTATTAATTTTTAATGTAATTTATTTTTTATTATTTATTATTTATTAGCCGTTACCAACTCCAAATCACGCAGCACCCACAGTCTTGTCAATCATACCAACAGCAACAATACTTTAGGCAACAACGAACAAGGATTTTATCAGAATCTAAGCGTATATCGTGCACAAAATCAAAGCCAGCCGATATTAGCTGAAAGGTAATTTACATAATTTTCAACTTTTTTCAATTCAACCATATGCGAATTATAATTTATTTAATACTTGATAATTTAATTGATAATTAATCCATACTTGTGCACGTTTTCAACTATTTCATAAATATTTGTAGCTTATAATTAATACTATTATTCATTCTCTCTCCCCGTTTTGGTTTGGTTACATTATCTTATTCTATTTATGCGTACGTATTTCTAGGATAACAGTACGTTTAAAAAATTTACTTTATGGTTTTATTCCCATTAAAAGTGAATATCAACTATTAGAAATGGCAAATGTGAGTACGGATAACTTTTGTGTCCTTTTTTGTTAATTAATGTGGTAACATTTTTAGCACATTATTTATATGTATACTTTCTGTTTAGTTATTGTTTATCACTATATAACATAAAGCACTGGTATTCACGTTTAAAACAATAATAAATTATATGCACATATGGAGCAGGATATAAAGTAGCCATTTAAAATATATCATTTCATCAACAGCCATTCTATATAATTCCAATACTAAAGAGACCTATCTAACTATTCAGATTTTGTTCGATTATTTTGAAAAACGTTAATGTCTAATGCAAACAAATCCTAAGATTACAAAGATTACATATAATAAAGCTGACAAATGTGTTCGTTTGCTAATATTAAAGAAAACAGTCATCCAGTGTACAAAAAAATTTAGACAACAATATAAATAATGAATAATAAAATTAGCAGAACTATTTTTTTTAATCCGGAAAAGCTTACAGTTGAATCACAAAATAATTCTAATGTTTGACACGCTTATTTTGAAAGGTTCGCCATTTCTGGTCTAGAATAATAGGGAAAGATTCAGTTTATTTTTTTTTTATGGTGCCTGTTAAAGTTTATGTAAGCAGTCGATAACTACTTTTATCTTTTTTTTGCTTTGCTACATTTACAAATATTATTAGAGCAGTTATTAACCTAAATTTCGGTACAAAGATCTATAATTAGTGGAATCTAACTTTTAAAATTTTTAAATAAATTCATCAGTATAGAAATCATCAGGACTTAGATTTATTTACCGTAGCGTGTAGTAAATAATGTATTTATGGAGTACATCAGCATAATTTTAGAATAATTCCCAGAATTAAAAATAATTTAAAACCATATTCAATATTAAATATATAAAGTTGGAAACTCTAGAATTTATTTTTTTTAACCTTGAGTTATTCTTTTTCTACGCATTTTTCAAAGAGGTTTCGAAAAGTAGTGAACTACAACAAAAAAAATTGTTTTAATTACAGTCAAACTTCTCTATAACGAAGTCGTTGGTGACTTCGTTATAGAGAGGAATTCGTTATAAGGAAGTTCGCTATAAAGAGGTTTGACTGTAATGGAATTTTTGACCATACACCTCTTTCGAATATTGCCAATTATCCATCATTCGTGGATCGTGGAGTTATTTCTTGTATTTATTGATTCGTTAATGATTTTTGAGACTAAAAGTATCAGAGATTGAACTGGTTTTCCAAAAATAATAAAATATTGTTTTTAAACAACTTTCATATGTAGAATTACTGGGACATAAAGTAATACTACATATTAAAACTCCTAGTAATGAAGAGATCTACCTTTAGCAAGATTTGATATAATACATTTATTTCTGTAAAATAGAAAACAAAAACAATGCAAAAAGTTTTTTATATCATGAGTCAAAGGCCATCATTGGTTAAAAGAAGATTCGAAATTTTTAATGGATTTCTTGTACGCTTGATAGAACAGTCATCACCTAAAATTGTATACTTATAAACTGGTAACGTTTGTGGTTTAATTGCAATTAAATGAAATAGTCGTGACTTTCAGCGTTGTTTGTACGCTGACCACTGTGACCTTTTCAGGAATCAATGAGGCATTATTTGAGACAAAGTGTGCTTTAGCTATAAAACCGCCACTTCAAGCTATCGTAAACCAGAATCTGTTAAGTTTTCTTTAAATACTGTGTAACAATTTTCTGAACTGCGTTATGTATTCATTACTTTCAGTAACAGCAATACATTGAGCACTAAAAATTTATTTTTTCCTATATTTTATATAGATTTTCTTTATAAATATATTGAGATATATATTTTAACTATATATATTAGGTTTGATTTAATAGAAGAAAATCTAGTGTTATTAGAAACAACTTGTTAAAAATTCATATATAATAGTAGCAAGTGTTGTATGGTCCTGTTTATTTAAACAGATTAATTTTTTTTTCTAGTTCTGCCAAAAAACTAATATATCAATAAAAAGTATATTTATAATTTATTATATTATATGGAGCAGACAAATACTGCATATTTAATTAGAACGATTTAACCGGAAATAAATATTTATTTATATTTTCGTATAGAGCCCAAATGCCATCACATTCCGCAATGAACACGTACAATGGAAATTCCCCTCACAACGCTCCAAATCAAATTTTATCACCAGCAAATGGAACTTCAGGAAATCAACACCCCCAGCAATATCAACAACAACCTCAGCATCTGCACCATTCATCAATAACAACTCCAGTGAATTCTAACTTACCACCTAGCCGTCCAGTATCAGCCTATTATCATAGCAACACAAATCCAACCGTCGCAACAGCGTTAACCAGTAACCCAAACGCAGCACAGATATCCTTGCAACAGCAATACTCACAAAATGCACACAGCATTAGCGCCAGTAGCAGCAATTTAAATGGGAACATTGGTGCGACAGGTTTGCAACAGCATCAGCATCAGCATATGCAACAACAACCGCATTTGTCACAAATGCAGCCGCACTCATCATTAACTATGGGAAATCGTTCAAAAAGTACACAAAACTTTAATCGTGAAATGCAAAATCAACACAGTCTTCGCATGCAGCAAATGATGGCACCATCGATGCCCAACATAAACAACATGTATGGTCAGCAGCAACAGCAACAACATGTTAGCAGTAACATGTCCACTAGTCAGAGTATGCAAAATGTTAATATGAGCAGTGACTTACCCATTCAATACCAGAATGGCACGGGTAATGACGGCTACATGCAACACCAGCACTCACCAGCTGGACAAACCTTGCGTCGAAATTTGCGTCATGATATGATGCAGCATGCAAGTGGCTTGGATAGTGCACAACATTCACCAAATCATATATTGCAACAGCATCAGCAACATAATATACAACAGCAACAACAAACAAATTTGTTGAATTTACCACCAAAACCGAATAGTATGCAGCAACAACAGCTATCACCTGCTAAACAGCCACAACAACATTTACCACCCACTGCACCGAAACCACAACAGCATCGTTATCAACATCAACAGCAATATATGTATCAACAGCAGATGGAAGATAAGCCTCCACTACCACCGAATGCTACACACCCGTTGTATAAAGCAACACAACAGATTACACCCGGCATGAACTATGTTGCAAGCACTTTGGATCCACCAAAAGGTGGTTATGTGCCAGTATCTAATGCTGCAGCTTTACAGAATCAAAAAAATTTCTTGGGTACTAATCCATGGGAACGGGAGGAACGTGAAAAAGAGGTAAGCATATACTGATGTGAATGAACCAGTTTGATTTTAAATAATTTAATTTTCACTTATCTCTCTTATATTGAACAGGTTGAAATACGACGCGAGCATATACGACATTGGCGCGAGCAGCAAATAGCAGAGCTCTCCACATTGTCCACACGTACACCACAACAAGAGGAGCAATTAAAAACTTTAATACTTGAACGTGATTTTGAACGACGTGCACAAGAAATTGAAGAACACGAAGACGAAAGCGAACCATCATACGAAAAGGACAATTTACAAGAAGTATTCCGCTTGACAACTCAAGCAAATGCCATACAAACTCCAGTCACAAATTTCCGTCAAACCGAAATTAAAATAGCTTCGGTATTAGATAACGTCGGCAATAGCAGTAGCCAACAGCAAAGTACAAACTCTGCGGATATCTCACCAATCTCTTCTACGCGCAGTTCTGCTGCTGGTGTTAGTACCGATGGCTTACAACAACCACCACCGCCGCTACCCAATAATCCGCCACCACCTGTAACATCAGCAAACACTGTTATGCAACCAAAGAGCATTTTAAAAAATAATCGATATGATGGCTCCAGTGTAGCACCATCATCCCCATCAAAGTCACAAAAATCAACAAGTTTTGCAGATGATCGTCATTTGCAAACAGAACATACAATTTCCAATATATCTAAGGATATATCGCATTTATCCTTAAACACCTCAAATGCACCTACAATACCTACATCAACATCAACATCTACAATAACAAACGATACCAATTCTATGGATAATTCAAGTGTGCCTCCACCACCACCACCTGAACGCAATAGCTCTTACTTAATAATGTCACAACAAAAATTACGCAATTCTTCCATTGGTTTGCTTAAGACCGCCACAAGCAATGCTGCTGATACGATAAACCAAAACTCTATCAAAAAAGCAAATATTCTGATGAGCAACAACAACAACAACAATAACATAAGCAACAATTTAATTACCAACTCGACGACAATGGAGATTAGTAGTAGTAACTACACAACCAATAATATGCTGCTGCGTGATAATAAGCGTGTCTCTTTTCATGACGAAGAGAATAATTTTATTAACAGTACGCAACAGCAACAAAATCAATACTCTCCTGAACTTTACACCAACGAAAATCAGATGCCAGTAGATCTAGAAACGATACGTGAAGATACAAGTGTAAGGATTCCTACAACTACACCTAAAAAGTGAAAATAATATAATTGAATTTTTATGTTGCTTCCAGTTTCTTCAACATACCTTAGATACATCCATGTTGCCATCAATGCCTGCTACACCGGACGCTGCACTTTGGAACACTACTGTGCAATCGACACCAGGTGTCATAGGTGCACAAGAAGTCTACAGGTATTATGAGCAAATTATAATGTAACAAATAATAACAAGTTAAGAAAACTATTTTTGTACCTTTATCGGAGGACAGTTTTGTTTTGTGCACCTTTAGTACCTTTTTTTCTATCTTTTCAAGATATAGATAAAAAACCATAATTTTTACATAAACTATGCAATCATGGCGTTATGCACTGACCGAACTTACAACCCTACTAGTACTTAGAAAATCGTAAAATACTATGGTATAGTAACACAATAGAGGCAGCGGAATAATAGAAAATAATCGTTAAAAGGGAAAATCACAAATCGTTAAAAGGGTCGTTAAAAACCGATCGAACTTTTCAAGAACTTATAAAACTACTACTTGGAAAAGTATAGTACCATATTAGAAAAGGAAATTAATTGAAAGGAGTCTTCTGTTAAAACGAGCAGTTTCTGTTAAAAAGATGAAAACCAAAGCGAATAGTTTATTTATTGCCTTCTCTTGAAAGTAGCAACTATAAAATAAACTGCAAAATATTTTAATGCATGCGAATTAAATACGAATAGAAGTAACATGAAGTAACATGTAATCTCCATATATGATATAATATACAAAGTATATTAACACTTTATCCAACATCAAATAGGTAAATCAAAATTTTTAGTCCACCTATGTAATAGTAACGCAGCAACTTCGGGAATGTAATCAGTCTTTAAAAAGTCTTAAAATTCTATATTATTTTCATTTTATTTACCAATGTATATGATCATTTAAAAAAATTTAATTCAAGATACCAAGATGTTGTTGCTGTTATTGCAACAGCCCGTTAAAATCTATATAGCTGATAACGAATTACAAATACGAATACCTGGGTTAGGATTGGTTGAGTTAAAGGAAATGTAGAAGGAGAGGGAATTATTTCGAAACAGGAATGGATTAAAAATGGGTGGGATTTTAATTGAAGCTAACATTGATGAGTCAAGGTTGAGAAACCTCACAAATTCAATGAGACGGAGCCAAAGATTAATTGCATTCAAATTGATATGTGCACTGGGATATGAAAGCAAATAGACGAGATCATGGGAATAGAACTACAGTTGAAGTACACATTTGGAATTGACGCATTTATACGTGACAAATAGCTATTTGGATTCACAGTTTTTTCTACACGGGGCTTACTGTGGCTTCGAATGGCTATATTATATTAAATAAACTATAAAATCGATTATTGAAGAATTTATCTTTTTAATTAACATGACAAATAATTAACATTATAATAACTTTTCAAATAAGAAAACTCAAAACAAAATTAATTTTATATATAATATTATGTAAATCCCATGTTTTAAGTAATGAACATTTGATTATAATGTATGTATTTTTTACAGAGATCCACGTCAACGCCGTCTAGCTGAAAAACAACAGCAACAACAGCAGCGCAACACTGAAGCTGTACCAGAGAAGTTGAGTTTTAAAGAGAAAATGAAAATGTTTGCTCTGGAATCGGGTGAAGATCATACACCAAAAGACAAATTAAAAATATCAAGAGCACAGAGAGATATTGATGCAGTGCATTAAGAGTCACAAATATAAAACATTAACATCACATGTACACAAAAACATATAAACGAAAGGCAAAATTATTTAAATATTCAAAAATACTTAATTCATAATGTAAACTATATCAATTATTGAAGAGCAAATATAACAACCTTATTAGAAATAGTTTTTTTTAGTATTTACTTGATGTTATATACAGTATAATGTATATTGAAATAATATTACAATATATATATATATATAGATGTTTAGTTATATAAAATTTATGTAAATCTATAGATTTTAAGCGTTAAATTTTATGTAAAGTGTTGCAACTAGTACCGTAAGAAAGAGGAAAAGCAAATGTTGAATTTAATGAATAATAATTATTTTATGATAGCGAGCGAACGAACGATACAAAATTTAGTAGTGAAATGTCTAAATATATTTTTTTTAGCTAATTAAGTAAATTTTTAAAACAAAATTAATTTAATTTAACTATATATGTACTTTTCAAACAAATGGTCCAATTATTATATACATTCATTTATATACACACAAAAAATATACATATATATATTTACATGAATATAAATAAATATATTTTCTATTTTATGAAATAACCAATTACGTAGCCTTAATAATGAGAATTGAACACATTTTAAATACAAAATATATATTTCACATGAGGATTTCTTTATGGCTTTAATAAATAAAATTATGAATTACAATATTTTTTATTATTTTGCTGTTTATATATATTTAGAAACCTATTTAAAAAATTAAAATAGTATAGCAACATATATATAGTTAAGCTATTATATTGTGCATTCCATAAATATTTCTAATATTGTAAAACAAAAGATTTTAGCATTAAAAAATTAATAAGTAGTAGATAATTTGTTTTATTTTTATAGCATCAGTAATAGGAAGTTTATACAAGCCCAAAGGGCAGGCTTGTCTAAAAAATTCGGTTTTAAAACACAAAAACATACAATCTTATCAAAGTCATATCTACAATAATATATACACAGCTATTAAAAAAATATGCTTAGAGTGCTATTATGGATTTTGATTTATTATGCCAACACAGTTTATCATGTTGCATGCAGTATAAGCATATATATTGCAACAAGGTTGATAAACACATATAATTTGTGAAAAGAAGCATCCTTCAAACAATATACCGTAAGTCCATATTTCATGACATTCTGTTAATTTATTAATTAGTTTATAGGGTACTGCATTTTTGGTGACCTCAGTTTTGTCAATTTCAAAACAAGGGATGAAAAACATTTCATGTGTTGATTTAGAATTGTTTTTTTTTTATAGCGGAAAATACCGTTAAAGCCAAAATAGGTGACACCTTAGAGATATTAGAAGCAAGCATATAGCCACACATAGTCAAAGGAGTGGACGCTCTTCGAAAGGTTAAAGAACCAACAAATTCCACAAAATGAAGCGAATGACCATATGTATACATATGTCTATTTATTATCAATGCAACGTCACATATCTGAGTAATAAATAACAATAGTTATTATTAAATACAGCATTTTATTCAAATGTCGTACCATTCCTGAATACATTTCTGGCTATGGACTTGATGAGAAGGTACTGCGTTTACAATTTTACATGAAAAACTGAGGACATTTAAATTTATTGCAATTTATCAAGTTTAAATGACACATGACAACGAGCTAAATACAAAAACTAGTTGGTATGTAGTATGTGCAGTGACATATCCATATATAATTATAATTATATATATTATAATAAATTATAATATAATTTCGCATCAATCGTACTCACCAGATCTAACACCAACTAGTACTGAGTTATTACAGACATCAAAAAGACTCTCCAAGGTAATATTTTAGACTAAAATGATATAATAATATTCGAAAGGAACATCTATTTTGAAAACAACAGATCCATTATACAAAAAAGGCATCGGAATGGTTAGAAGAATGCTGAGATGAATTTATCACTACTGATAAAAAGTATGTTGATGGATTAAATACAATATCTTAATAAAAATTGTTTTTCTTAGCGAGACGGAAACTTATTAACGCAATATGGTTTATCATATTGACTCACTTTTATTCGTGAAAAATAGATATGACAATTATTGTGTGAAGAAAGCAATTTGGACTTATGAACTTATAAAATTATCTTTTATAATATTATCTATTAATAATAGCAAACCATATTTTTTTTCGTTGTTTTTATTTTATTTGATCATGGTAATAACATGCAAGAAAAATTTAAAGTTTCAAAACTTTGGGTTTCTATAGTTATAAAATCTCAAAATATTTTTACTTTTGCTTTTTACAAAAATAATCGTAGGCACACGACTGTACATTAATTAGTTACTATTGGATTTCAAATTTAATTAAAACCTGTAGTAGAGTTTAGTCCTGATAAGGACTTTACGCACTATTGTTGCAGTTAATGCACCGTCGATAATTGAGAAGTTTAGTAAACAGAGAACACAATAAGACTTGAAATTACGAGAGCATAGAAAGTATTTGGAATGTGTTAGCTATACATAATAGATAAGCTAGGAATATAACTAAAAAATGAAAACCAGAAAGTTAACTTCATACCTTGTCTAGATTTAAGAAGTGATAAGATAAATTTCGATATGTTTAAAGTTATAAAGAAAATGTTTAGGAAGATTAGAATAAGAAGAATTCTGTGTTCTACAGAATATATCAAGGAAGATTATAATGGAGTATAGTATGCCAAACTAATTTGGAAATGATGAACAACATCTAAAGCCTAATAGTAACATCCATTTCAAATGAAATATTAAAAATAAAGTTCCATAAAAAATTTTCCACAATATCCAAATTTTATGGAGCATTTTCTATATGTAGCATTATGTGAATTTTTCGTGGAAAGTGAATATTAGTACTAAGCTTAAACATTAAAGGCATGCTTTTTACAAATTTAAGCTTAACAAAAAATTATGAATCAATCATTCCTAACTAATGAATAAAAATATCAAAAATATCACAAATAAATTATGTTATATACATTTAAATAGAAAATAAACTACACTACAGTTCAAAAAAGGTAAATAAATTTGAAATCTCTCTCTTTCTCTTTCTATTTCTCTCTCTCTTTCTCTTTCTATATTCTCTCTCTCTTTCTCTTTCTATTTCTCTCTCTCTTTCTCTTTCTATTTCTCTCTCTCTTTCTATTTCTCTCTCTCTTTCTATTTCTCTCTCTCTTTCTCTTTCTATTTCTTTCTCTCTTTCTCTTTCTATTTCTCTCTCTCTTTCTCTTTCTATTTCTCTCTCTCTTTCTCTTTCTATTTCTCTTTTTCTCTCTCTTTCTTTTTCACTTTTTCTCTCTCTCTCTCTTTTTCTCTCTGTATATCAATATTTTTAAATTCCATCTAATCTTTTCCTTCGTTAGCGTAAAAGTTATTTGTGATTCCATAACTAATGCGTTTAATTTTTACGATTTTTATGTAGTAACTCTATAATCATGCACTAACTACACTTGTTAATCACACCTACTGAATGAAAGTTACAAATTCTTTGGTGGACAAATGAATTGTTATAAATATGTCTAAAAACTAAAACATTTTGATTTTACTTTACTAAAACAATGTAGGAACAGAAATAATGTCAATACTAGCATCTAAAAATATGTCTCTAACAGTGTTAATTTTGTGTTGATAATAATTTATAAAGCTTCTGATGGCATAAGCTTGTCTTCAAGAAGTGCGTCTTAAACATTTATTAATGATGACCTAAAGACATCAAGTGATTTATGCACCGTACCGAAAATACTCTATAATTTGCATAGAAAATGCTTAATAACTGATGCATAAAATTTTTAGCTTAATAGGCAATAGTTAATACGGATAATTGGGGACGAGCCATATACTGAAGACTAAGTACTTATATGCTATGTTAAGTGGGACGTAACCACTTTATTTCTCTTTATTTCCTATTTCCTACAACAAATATTACTAATAGAGAAAATTTAATCAACATCAGAATGTAAGACCACATAGCACAGACTTCATACAATTAAAACAGATTAATAGCTTTTAATGTTTATTTCTATTTATATATAAATAATTTATAAATGCAGTGTCTTTTAAAAATTACAAGTGTCTTGTTTGAGGATTACAAACCCTTCACCGTTTTTCAACAAATTTTCATTAAATAAAGAAACTGGGTGATAGAAAGCATATTTGTAGTTATATTCTTTATCGACTACTTAAATTACGATTATGTTAATCAGTATTTTTTTTATTAATATGAAGTATTATTAATCAATACTTTACCTAGAACTTTTATTTCTGGCTTTCCAAATACATATGCTTATACCTCAAACAGGGTCACAAATGATTTAACTCTTTCAATCACCGATTTATTTTCACTAAGATAGCTGGGCAGCAGAACTTCATCGGCGATACAAAAGTACTGCGTGAAATCAATTGCAGTTAGTTGCGTTTGTTCCTGTAAATCGATTTTATTAGGCATAAGAGCGGAACTTGACCATTCTAGCAGTAGCTGTTCTAATATCCACTTAGTAGTTAGATCTTTATAATAACCTTTTCGAAGTGAGTCTACTGTTTGCAGTTTTGCAATATATTCCAATGTTTTCTTATGATACTTTTGATTGTCTATCGCACGCATAAGAAGGGCAGACGTTAATAAAGTCCATTTACTATCTGGTTCATACTCCAAAAGACTATTACACGATTCCAATTGACTTTCAAGTTCTTCAAGCACGGCTGGAGTATAAGCTGTAGTACGATTTGGTGGCGTGAAATAATAGCAACTACTGTTATAAAGCTTAAGTGACAATAATTTATTAATTGTTCCAGGAATGTCTATTGCAGCATCACAATAATTTGTTATATCATTTTTACAAATATCATCATTTAGCGTAACAGTCCAAACATCACTAATATTAGTGCCATTTGGTGCGCACCAATTGCTAATATTTGCAACGGTTTCTTTTTGTTTGTTTGATATAGTAACATGAATGTTGGATCCATTAATAGGACTAGTAAAAGCTAGTACAGCCTTACTTGAATCACAACGGAAAGCACAGATATCAAATTCTCTACTACCCAATAACCATCGTTGGTAAAACCAAGCACTACTGTCATTGGGATCCGTAAATGCAGCTGTTAATACCATTTCTAGCTCTTCTTTTAACTGCAACTCACTCATTGGTCGTTTAGGTACAGCAACACCCTCATATGGATACAAAACTGGCAGCAAAAGACTTCGATAATGCCAAGAAGAATAATTAGAGAAATTTACGCGAATTTTTTCAGTACAAAAATCTAGTTCCTGCTTTTTTTCTATACCGGCTTTGGCTACAACAAAACGCCTGTAATCCCATGTATGAAAATTACGTTCATCGAGTTTTAAATACTTATTACATAATTGCACCTCACGTTCCCAGTTTGCTTCTGAATTATTTTCAAGTGACCAACATCGTTGATGCCAACTCCCATATGATTTTGGATTTACCATCAGACATTGCTCGGTCAAATAAAGTTCGGCATCAAATATGCTTTGCAGTTTTTCCTTATCGTCTTCATATTGTTTAAACATACATAACAGACACTCACGTCTAATATTCCATAAAGTAGAAACATCTGGATTCCGTAATAATATTTGAGAAGTTAATTGCAGCATTTCATCATCTAATTCTCCTTTCTGCCGCTTAGACTGGATTTTGACCATAGCGGCTTTGTAAGCCCTTACTTTTAATGTTTGTTCCTTTTTCTTTCGTTGTTTTTCTTCCTCAGAAGTTCGTATCTTAAGCCGTCCATGCATTTTGTGTTAAACTATTATATTTCTATAGAACTTCACCCAGAAATCTAAAGAGCATAAGAAATTTTTTAAAATTCTAGTGACTAATACTGAAATCAGCTGTTTACGAATAGAAGTACAAAAACAGTGTTGTTAAATTTCCATAAAGCGTATGGACAGCGTAAACACCAATGTAAGCACTCACGTAATAAACGTATAGCATATTTTGACTTCAATATGTTTTGAAAGTAATACAGCATTTACACTGGCTCAAATAACTCATTTTGGTCAAAAATCGAAAATGAGAAGCAAATGGCTTATTCTTGCATACAAAATTTCAATATTCTGTATGAATGCGTTTCAATGAGCGTCGAATGAGTTCCAAATATGTTCCAAATGCAGAGGAATACATTGAACATACCCTAAATAAAAGCTTTTTCATGCCATTTTGATAGTTTGAGAAAGCTGTTTATGACATAAAAAAAGGTAAACAAATGTTTGCTGGATGCATTTCCTTGAAAACGATGCACCTCTTTTTAGAACTTCTACTTATGTATTTATTTTAGGGTTTGAAAGTATGTTTAACCTTCATGCAACATTTTTTTGGCACAGTTGAAAAATCAAATCAACAGACAAGTTTAAAAATCAGCTGTTTGAAATGGGAACAAATGAATTACAACGAATGTAAACACTTTCAAATGGCTCATTCAAAATGTCAAAAACTGTATTTGACATAAACAGTTTACACATCGGTTTAAATGGAAATAATTTTCAACAAATTTCTTTTAAGTTCACATATTCGCTGTCTGGTCCATATGCCTTTTTCTGTAAGGATTTTTATATATTAAAAATATTTATTAATCCAATTATTGCTGTTTTCTTGATATTCATTTTTCAATTTCTTCGCGAAATATTTTATTTTTAAGACAATTCGTGCTAAGCACAAATTAAGTCAGTAAAGTCGATGATTTTAGCATAACATAAAATGGTATTGTGATTTAACTGACAACTGTATAATCAGCCTCAAGTTTATTTAGCCAATATATTTAAGAAGAATAAATTTTTGGGAATAAATAAAATCCGAAATTTTACTCGTCATGCAAAAATAGGAAACGTAAATTATCTTTAATTATTTTTTGTTTGCATTTCGTAATTTTCAGGAGATCAAGTATTGATGAAGAAAATTCATCATTAAATCCACAGCTATGAGCAATTAAATAATTACTCATATTGTAATTCTACACTTTTTTGAGTATTTATTACATATAATTTACATGTGATATATTTATTTAGGTTTAAAAAAAAAAACTAAGCTATGAACAAAGGAAAGATTATAATTTAATTGTTCCTTAACTTTGCCTTATATATATATAAGATCAAAATGGATGAGTACTACTATATTAAATTACAATTTCACATTATGTGAATGTAGTGTACAAAAATTTATTATATTACGTTAAAATAAACAAAATGATTTAAGGTAATAAATTACGACTTCCAATAAACCGAAGCGTATATTTATTATAAAATATATATAAGATATATGCATTAATTTCTATTTTTAAATCTTTTACCAATTTTATAGCGAGAGAAAAATAAAATTTAAATTTTGGTTTCCCATTAATAACCTTAATATTTTATTCCGATGAAGCATCCTTTTGAGACATCCGGTAGTTTATTGCTCTTGTTGCTTGATAAAGTTGTGATAGTCCTACAAAAAGATTGACGGATAGTAATGAATAATTTTTCGGTATTATTACAACCGAGTAACGTGACCATATAAAACCAGTCATAGCCAAAACAACAGATTGATTAATCGATAATTTTTCAACAGGTCGTTTTAAATCCTTAATGCCAGCAATAACAAGTCCCTTAAAATAGAAATAGATATATTACCAATATATTTAATATGATTAGCTAGAAATTATGTACCCATTTAAATAGAGGAGCCCAGAAAAATACCGTCTTTGGTCCTGAAAAGTAAGTAAGTAAGAATTACCAACAATGCTATTTAAGAAATATAATAGAAATTTTTATTAAAAAATACAGTTTACCTGCTGGATGTTCCCAAAATGCACGTCCTGTTTTCGGTACCAATGGATCTACGACACTAATGATTCCATTATAAATCTTACTTGGCAAACCCATTTTAGCTTAACACAAAATTTTTTGCTATAATTTTCGTACAGAAATGGTATTAAACACTATTATTTATAGATAATGTATAGTGTATAATATAATATATACTACATATTATATGAGTATATAATATATTTATATTACACACATATATGTATAACATCAATATATTGCATTTGAAACTTACAAAAATCAAAGTATATATATCAATGTATATATGCTGAATGGGGACCCGTCTCATATAAACTATTTTATAAATTATACAAAAGTTTGCATTTTTAAATAACTCACTACGCCAAAGCTTGGCACAGCATATATATTTGTTACTAATGGGGATAATACTAAATTAAATTTAGATACAAAAAATTTTTCAGTTTAATTTTTGTATATGAATATAAAAGTTAAAAACAAACGACAAATATTACGCATACCTAGATTAAAAATTAATATAGAAATATTTTCAATCACTTAAAAGCAGATATAATTATTTTAATTTAAAAGTGTTAATAATAGGCCTTTTCGGTGGCTCGCAAGTATGGCAAAAAAACAGCAAGTTGTTGGCCTATACTGGCCAAAATGTAGGCAAAACAACCACACTATAAAAAAAGTGTTACCAACATAATTAGCGAACTATTGTGTACCTTCATTGGAAACTCCAACGAATATTGCAATCATATGTAAACAAAATTTAAAAATTGGAAAAAAAATTCAATTTCAATGTTTTATTTTGAAATTTCCAACGTTTTTACAAATCCTTTTAATTCTGTAGTCATTTTAAAGTTCAACTTATATTAATTATATTTTTTTTCCAAAATGTAATTTATTTGCATTATATGCACATATGCAAGATTTACTATTGCGAAAACATTGCACTTAACAGATTGCAACAGTGATGCCAATGTCTCGCGTAGACAATACAAGTCAGCATGCATTTTTTGCCATACTTGTGAGCCACCGAAAAGGCCTATTATTCATTTTAATTTTCAATTTTATATTGATTATTTTTTTACAAAATGTAGTTTGCTTGCATTATATGCACATATGCGAAATGTGCTCTTTACAAAAACAAAACATTTGACAGACTGCAACAGTGATGCCAATTTTTGCTTAGTGCCTATAGGCCAGCAACTTGCTGTTTTTTGCTACAGGTAATAGCTGCCAAAAGCACCAAATACAATATTTGCGCTTAACTTAAAATACATATTTGTTTAATATATTATTAATAAGTATTTATTACTGGAACAGAGCTAATTTGAATAATTAATTTCACAGTTTATACTTAAAACACTACTTTTATATTTTCATTAAATACTTATTTTTAATAAATACGTAACGTTGACCAAACGTTATCATGCATTCGCCTCATATTAAAAATTCCGTCCAAATAAATTTTAGAAATCCTTTTTTCGGGGTAAGTTGGTAACACCGTAACATATTATAATGATTTTGTTCGTTTAGAGTAAGCAGATGTATTTTGCGATTATTACTAATGAGAATTTTTGGAACAAAAAATAGGAACAAAAAATTTTATGCTACAAATAGAGTTTTTTATGCTGTCATTAAAAATGTTGAATAAGCATTATGATAACTCTGATTTATTTAAATTATTATCGTACAAAATATTCAAATGTGGTCATTATACGTTCGTAATCCGTTTCATGCCAATGCTCCAATAACGAATATAACTAACCAAACATTTCTATAACGAAGGAACTAGTATTTCAAAGCCTTCGTTTTAGTTTGAAAGAGCTAGAACATGCAGTGAACGTCTTTCACCAAACAGGTGATACAATTTTAGTTAATGTATTAAGTATCTAACATAGCCCTTTCTTAAAAAATCCATAGTTCCAAAAGTGCTGAATTTTTTTCAGAAACAACATCGGAAATAGGTTATTTAGGGCATTTCTTGAATCTCTGTTTCTACATTCATGAAATGTGTCATAAATGGTGATGACACATGGGCGGACAATAATCCTACAAAATTCTATGTAACGCTCACTACTTTCTACGACAGTGAGTTTCTTTCTCAGCAGAAACTAACGACCAAAATCTGTGTATAGGGTTAAATGGAAACACTTTAAAGCTATAGAAAGTATTGCAGGGAATATTAACTTTTTCTGAAATCTTTTTTTTACCTAATAGACGAGAAACACTGAAACGCTACACTTACATCTAATGTTATTTATTCTTAATAAATTCTTTTGTTATTTTATTCAAATTTTTAATTTTATGACTTAAGGATAAACAGGAGATTGAATCGAATAACTACTTACTTGAGAGGTATATTGTGGCATGTATATCATTTGACTTTAATACATACTATATTGAATAGATTTTTGAAGAAATTCTTTCATATTTTATTGAAATAGAATGGAGTTCACATTTGAATAGAATATACAAATATTTTAAATACATATTTAAAATAACATATTTGTAGGTATAATGAGTACGAAAAGAATATGTGATCTACCCGTAAATCTGTTTTCATGCCTTATTGTTTGAAATTAATCTTTGTATTTTTATATCAGAAACAGGCAATTGTTTCCCAATTTTTTTGTTACTTAATTCATGCTACTTCAGATTTAATGCACCCTAGTCAAGACCTCTTGCTTACACCAAAAATTTATTGCACTAATTAATAAATATTAACAGAACAAATAAATCATTTAATTTTGACTTTAAGTAGACTTAAATAATTTGGTGAGCTCAGTTAATTCCAATAAATTGTCAAATTTAACTGACTGTGCTACCTGTACTATTTACCAAGTTTCGGGCCATAAATTGATGAAACAAGATACATATATATAAGCTGATCAAGAATTTATATACTGTAAAAACAAGTTTATATATTACCAGTAATGGGTGGTTATAAAGCCATGACGGTGATTAAACTCTAGTTAGATCGATGACTGGAGGTTCGGCACCAATAATGAATGTTGAAAGTCATTTAATTTGATTTGATTTGTATAAATAATATAAGAACACTTAACAAAAAAACATTTTTTTCAAAATATTTATATTAAATACAAACACATTTCTTACGAAATATTTAATTAAATTTAATGTATACCTTAATGGTTTTCATATCGTTTATTTAGCCAAATTTAGACAAAATTCGTTATTTTAAGAAATTAAAAACATTTTTTTTATATTTCACAGATTAAAATTTGAATTTATTTTAAACTTATAATTAATATAAATTTAAATTATATTCATGTTTACCAAATAATAATCGTTACTTTGAAACATAAATATTATTTATACAAAAATAGTGTTCCAAATCTCCAAAATAAAATAAAGAGTTCATTATAGTTTAAAATTTTTACAATAAAATTAATTTATAAATAAATTCAGTATTTTGCATGTTGTTACTTAGTATGAGTAGATATAAAATATTTCGTTTTTTTTTTTAATTTTTACTTTTAGATACTACATAATTTGGAGACGTATTGGTAATATGTGAAACAGAAATTTTATATTTAATATGTATTATTATTGTATTATTACATAAATTTATGTAAATTATATGGACTTGAGTTAATCTTTCGCAACTACATTGTGTTGCAACTTAAAACATTACTTTTTTATAATTATTTATTATGTTATTTTTTTTTTCTTTTGATAAATATTGTATATAAACAACTTGAAGAATGAAGTTAGCAAGTGCAATTGATCGATTTGATATTGTTGCAACCTAGTCTTTTTTTTTTGCTAACTTTTAGTTGTTAATATTAATTTTGTTATTGAGGTTTTTTTAGCTGGTTGTGACCTCAATTAATAGTTACTGCACTACTGCGTTGTTAAAAGTTAAAAGAATTCTGTAATTTGTCACCATCCGGATCAAATTGGAATTGTGAACCATCTGTAGCTGGCTGTAAAATAGGTTGCTCAGCCTAAAAATACAAAATTTAATTGTTGAATTTATCATATTTTCAAAATTTAAAAATATATTGACCTCATCTGAGAAATATTGCTCAATGATTTCGTAGGCTAATTTGTAAATATCAACATTCTCATGATTTTGTAATCTCTCTATTTTTTCAAGACCATCACATTCTTCTATTAAGTTTGCAACCTCCTGAACATGACCTTCAGCCATTTTGAGCATATTATGTAGACCATCAAGTACAACCTAAAAATATTATTGAAGTTTATTTTTAATTTATCGGATTTATGGAGCTTATTTCTACATAAAACAAAAAATTTTTATATATATTTACATAATTTTAATATGTTTGAAAACGAAACCGATGAAAATATAATATACATATATATGTACAAACAATTTATAAAGATGCTCATAAAAAAGATTATAAATGCTCAAATATATTTTATAATTGTACTTACATTTATTACTTGTATATCCTGGCATGAAAGCAAATCGCAGAAAGGTGGAATCACACCTTCTTTGATTAAAGTGAAAACTTGGTCGCGATTGCCACTGATTGTTAAATTGCTAATGGCCCAAGCGGCTTCCTTTTGTGTTTGGAATTCTCCTTTGCTCAAATTTTCAATAATTTTTGGTAACAAACCAACATTTATAACGGCTTGCACTTGAGACTGATTACCAGCGGTGATGTTGGAAAGGAACCAAACGGCTTCCTTACGAATTTTCTCCTTTGTGTGAGACAACAATGCTGGGAAGTACGCAAGCGCATCAAAATTCAGCACCACCTGTGTTTGTTCATCTGATCCAGTTACAATATTACCAACTGCACGTAGTGCTGCAGTCTGTACCTTAACTTCGGCGTGTCCCAATAATGGTATTAACTTTGGTACAATTCCACTTTCTATAACCATTTGAATTTGATCATTACCGCCATCAGTTAAATAACTTATAGCCCAAACTGTATCCACCAATATGTTTGTGTCGGTGTGATGTATGAGCATATTTAAAGCAGGCAAAATTTCATGTATAGTTGCTGCTGGAGGCGGGGGATCTTTATTACGGCACAAATTGACAATAACCCATGTTACATTTCGCAAAAATGATATTGGTATATCAGGCTTAATGAAAGATAACAATGGTTGCACCACACCATGTTTGATGACATAGTCACGCAATTCGGGTCCATCACCAATAATATTACCTAAAGCCCAAACTGCTTGTTCACAAACATTAGGAGCAGGAGAAGAGAGTAACTGTAGGAAAAGAGGGACAGCGCCGGCATGAACCACCTATATAGAAGTGTGCCATTTTTATTTGTTTTTGAAACGTATTTAACTAAACAAACCTGATTTGTTTGGTCGGATGTACCAGATGCAATGTTGGTTAAAGCCCATGCTGCTTCGAACTGTAACATTGTATGGTCATGCTGCTTCAAACATTCTACCAATATCGGTAATATATCACTTTTAATGAGGTCATTTATTGGTGGATTTTTATCGGACGACAGTAGCTTCCTAGCAGCTTGTACTGCAGCTAACTGTTGTTCGGGCTTAGATGAATCTGCAGCCGCTTCTGCTAAATTTTTTAAATTGATTGTATTTGGTAGCTGATCATCTTCATCTGTGTTTGAATCAACGTTGGGTACGTTACGACGTTTCAATATAGTTTCTTCACGTTTATTCTTCCGTAATTCTACCGTCACTTCATTGCGCCGACGACGCATTTCCTAAAAACACAAAATATATTTTGTATATAATAAAAATCACATATTTTTTATCAAATTCAATTTAACACCTCACGAGTAATTTTATTTCCTTTCATTATTTATTTTTCTAACATATATTCGATAGCAAAAATAACAATTTGACATCAATGATTCACATTATTTAAAATAGACTAATTTTATTTATTACAATTGTCTTGAAATTTAGCTAAAAATTAATATAAAATACATGCACAAACTAAAATTATATATTATTTAGGCTAAAAATAGTAAAAACAAAAATAAATTTTGAAGTTTTTAAATAATAAAGTTACTATTTAAATATCCTTAGCAATTTTTTTTACTTTTTTTATATTCATGCAATAAGGCGTGGTAAATTTAGTAGGCGTTCATATACTTACATCCTGATCCTTCCCTTTGTTCTTAAAATTTTGCAGGCGGTTCGTTCCAGGTTCTAAGGAGGTCATCTTAAATACTTCTTTTGTGGAATTTAAATATGGATTTTTAATTGATATTCAATATATTTTCAAGAACGTACAGAAAAAAATTACGGAGCAAGTCGTTTAATCATCGTTGAATACACGAGACGAACACAAAACACGATGTAAAAAGGAAATGGCGAAGAAAATTTTTTGATTAAATAAATTTTGATTATATGTTTGTTAAATTTGTAAAGTGCTATGATTTGTTAACTTACTATATAATTTGCCACTAATCGGTTCCAAAACTTATTAAAATAAAAATATACGTCTACGTGCAATTAAAATTATTTTCTCAAACCGTCTACAAAAATGTCAGAGTACTCGGCTACTATTCATTCGATTTCGAATTTTCGAGCAAGCATGACTAAAACGACATTGTTAAGTTAGCCATGATTGATTTATTTATATTAATAAATAAATATATGTATATTTGTACATACAAAGTTTCTGGAAAAATCTACTTAAAAATTATAAACATTATAGAATTATTATTATATATTGTTGAAGAAATGTATATTTAAATAATATAATAAATTATATAAGTATTTTCTGCTAGTTTTTACTTATTTCCCATTCTCCGTATATTTGCAAGCAGTTATGAGCATTTCATCTCTTTTCAAAATTTTCCAACTTTTATTTTGAAATCCATATTAATTTATTATATGAATATATAATATATATTTACATATATATATAGCATATTATACATATTATATTTTACTTTACATATATTAAGCTTTACTAATACTGTATATTATATATATATAATATATTATATATGCTGTATTATGCCTTAAGCATGATATAGACGATGCTACACATCTGCACACCAAGTATGAAGTTCAAGTATGCGCTTTGCTATATATTTTGAAACAAGGTATGCATACTTCATTTTGATTTATTTTCTACAGCGTTTAGAACAATAGCGAAGCAAGATCAGAATGCAAAATAGTAATCGAAACTAAAGGAATTGAGATGATGATAATAGCAACAAGTTATTTATTTCATTATATAAAGATTTCATATTTCTTAGAATTAATCATAATTTCTTAATTGAATTCTTAAAACTAAAATTATTTTTAATTTAATTTTTTAAAATGTTGCATTTTAATATTTTTATTCACAAAATAATTTTTAAAATATAAAAACTTACTTAAAAAATGTTTTTAGCACAAAATAATTTTTAAAATATATGAACGCTCACCAAAATTCTTAAATTATGAGAAGTCTGCAGATTTCGATATACACAAGTAGACATGTGTGCAGACTTAACAAACAATTGAATAGTTTTAATTTTACCGCATACATGTCTCAGACTGAAATTTGGTATGCAAACTTGAATATAGACGGTGCGATTTGGTACCACGCATACTTTGTCTGCAAACATGTAGCATCGTCTATATCCTGCTTTACATATATTAAACTTTACGAATACTCTCTTTAAAAAAAATTAAAATTATCTAATTGTCAATTGTAATCTTTATTTGTGCTATATATGCACAAAATATAAGTACATTAATTTTTGTAAGATTTAACTGTTTTCAATTATTTGTATTGTTTTAAAAAAATAATTTCTATGAATTTTTCAGATCTTTTTGAATTTTTGTTTTTGTTTTGGCACATCATGAACAGTGCAAATTTTATAAGTACAAGAAATAAAATTATATACAAAATATAACAATTATTCAGACTTAACTATTTAAATCACAATAGTACTAATTTTTTCTTTCAGAGTAGCAAAGATATACTCGGGATTTAAATTTTTTGAATTATTTCACTACTTTCATATATTTTTTAACAACTTCATTACATCTTTATGACATTAAGAAATTCTTATCCTATTTATATTGTATTATTTATTAAGTAAATTTAAATTATCTTTAGTTCTCGATTCAATTACATTAGAAAGTATTTCGGTAGACAAAATCACAAATGAGCTGTTCTTGTATTTACTTGAAATTTACTCGAAAAAATTTTACTAAAATTTCGAGTACGGTAAATTAGATATTACCGTTGTGAACATTTTAAAAGATGTTTAATAAATAAATAAATAAATTTGAAAACTTTTAACCAAAAATAATAAATAAGAGCAAGAAATAAATATATACATAAGTGCAGTGTAAAAAATCCCTAGGAAATTTTAATTTACTTTACTCAATTTACTCAAACACGCACACAGCCTATATAATAATTATATATCCAATTAATAAAAACAAAGATTTTATTTAATACTTACTCTCTTAATGCCTTTGTTTTTAGCTCAACTGTTGATTGTTTACATTTTACATATAAAACATATGACAGATATTTCAAATTTTGTTAATATCCTTTGCGGGAAATATATTTTTAAGGGTTGCATTCGTCATTTTTTGCCTTAAATGTGTTGATTTATTGATAATGAGCTCATTTATATGAAAGCACTTTAGATATAGGGGAAAAATAATGCCAAAGTCTCACTTAATAAAAGCAAAGTTCATTAGTACAATCATAGCATAACATTAATGAATGAGATACAATTAAGAAATTTTTATAAACATTTTTAAGAAAACTGGCAACGGTGCTTGCATTCTAGCTTTACATCTTTTAGTTTGTACTATATCACAATTTGACACATAAGTAGAAATCAGATTCTTCAATGATTTATATGCTCAGTAAAAAATCAAAACAAAAATAATATGCAATAGCTATTGTGATTTCTTCAGTAGAAGACAGTTTCTTTATTGATAAAATCATCTCTCTTAATATGGATGCTAAAGAGCTTAATGCAACACAAAATAGTAGAATTGTAATTAAAGAAGAAAAAATTGACCTCGAAATTGAATCAAGATTAAGTTCTATAAATACAAAAATTAAAAAAGAGATTGACGAACCCCCCATAAATGATGAACAGGAACATATAAATGATAACGATGGTAATAATTCGAGTGGTACAGAATATAATACAGACTCGGACAAAGAAGTGGACAAGAAATCAATAATTCCTGCGAAGTCCTCAAATGAGATTCTGGCGGAGCTGTTTAGTGTTTTCAATGCAGCACCACCAAAGGAGCTGCTCAACGATGACAATCTGTTGAAAAAAACTAAAAAAAGTAAAAAACATAAGAAAGAGAAGAAGCGTAAGCACAGAAAGGCAAGTGATGCGTCGGCGGAAAGTGATATCAGCGCTGATGGAACCAACCTAACAAATGGAAAGCATAAACATAAAAAACGAAAAAAACATAAACACAAGGATGATAAGCACAAGGACAAAACTAAAGAAAAACATCGGCGTGATAATTTAAAAGATTGCATCAAGGAGACGAAGCTTGAAAAAAATGTATATATTAAAGAAGAACCTGTAGAAGAAGACCAAGAAATTAGCTCAAAAAAACGTAAAATGCAATCAAATGATGCAGAATATCCTAAGTCCAAGCAAGTATGTAAAAATGAACACAATTCGCATCACGTCAACAATGACCATCGGGAACGAGGAAAAAGCACACGAGAACGAGCACATCAAAACGACGCTAGCATTAAAACGGAACCAATTGAAAATAACATCAGATCTGTTGAACAGAACGGTCACATATCCGAAATTTCACTTTCAGATGAAGAAACTTATTTAAGGGAGCGTCAACATGTAAATGAGAAGCTCAGCGTAAAGAACAACCGAAACAGAAACGATTTCTTTAAAGGGTATGATAGACGTAGAAACCGAGATCATTACAACAGACGTGATAATAGGTCTTCACGGCATAATTACAGTAGGTCACGCAGTAGATCTCGTTCACATGATCTAGGTATTGATAAGAAACGTCTGTTAGAAATTGCACGAAAAAATGCCATAAGTATGTTTAAACGAGGAAATTTACCAGGAGCAGATAATATGTCTCAAGAAATCAAAGATAAAGTGCTACTTAAAATGCGTTACGGCGGTCGTACGGTACAAGATCTGACTGATTTCTGTAAAAAGATTTCTAACGGAGAGAATTTGTCTGATTTGAGTTCTGACGAAGACTCTGACGTCGATAAAAATGGTAACACAAAAGCTTTCCATCATCCATTTGAACTTAAAGAACGGGAACCTATTGTGATGCATATACGTAACGCTACTACGACAGTATCTCGAAACACTACTGAAGATAGCACCAAAGCCATTACCATGCAATTTCCGGTATCGTCTGGTCAGCAACATAGGCTTAAAGAAACTTGGGTGCCAGTCGAAGTTAAAGACAAACTGGTACCACTTCCCGCTCTACCGGCCGTTAATCAAACCACGAGTATTTTCAGAAATGTGAGAAAAAATGTTTTTGAAAAGCCCGTGCCACATGCGGAGCAAGAGCCAGCTTTTATCTCTACTACCGTAAATGTTTCCAATACAAATGAGCCAAGTAAAGTGCCTACAACGAATGCTGTTGCAATTATAGCGCCGGTTAGTAAACCAATCACTACTACGCCCAATTGTCTACCTCCGACACCAATTTTTAATACTTCAGTTGCTCCGCCGACACAAATCGTTACGCCTTTTGTGCCTGATGTTCCCGTACCATCTGCAAATACTAGTACTTTTCATGATTCTGTTTTTCCACAACCGCCTCCAGAAACACTTGATGTTTCAGCAATCGTAACAAAAAGATTAACTGCTATGCGACGACTTCAAGTAAGTTTATACTTTCCATTAGAATATATAAAATTATTTCCTAATATTTTGTATTTTGCAAGGATAATCCAAAAGATCCAGAAGCACTCAATATGATGTACAGTTCTCAAAAAGAAATGTCATCTTGGGCTTCCTCTAAGCATATGCCCGGACAATTTACAGGCAGTACGGGTGCAAATATACTTAAAGCACACGAGTTACACACTGGACCACAGGTTTGGGCACGAAGAGATCAGTTGATAACAACACAACCAGTAACTGGAGGCATGGGCATGCATTTGCTACAAAAAATGGGTTGGAAACCTGGTGAAGGTTTGGGAAGAGAAAAAACGGGCTCGCTGCAACCATTATTGCTTGATGTTAAACTGGACAAACGTGGTTTAGTATCTAAAGAAGATAATAGTGGCACACGACGCTTGCAACCAAGCAAAAAACAAAAGTGCAATAACATAACACCGGGACATAATAATATCCAAAATAAACATCCTGTATGTTTACTTAATGAAGTAACATCCAAACGTAAATGGACACCTCCACTATATACATTAGTCAGCGAACACGGACCTCCACATAGCAGAATGTTTATGTACTCTGTACAGGTAAATGGACAAAGTTTCAAACCTGAGAAAGCCTCTAACACGAAGAAAGAAGCTAAGATGTACGCTGCTAAGTTCTGTTTACAAGAGTATGGCATGTTGCCACGCGATGAAGTTTAATGTGGTTTTCAGATCCATGTAAAATGCACTTCTATAATATGCATATAAAATCTTTATTTATATTTAAAAATCAACTGATAAAACTTCTGTGTTAATGATTTGTTGTATATATTTTAATATTGTTTAACAAAAATTGAAATTATTCGATTATATAGTAGTCTTATTTAATTTAATAAAAGATACAAATTAAAATGAGTCTGATTGCCACTAGTTTGGCAAATCCATTTTACTTTATTAAAATTACAAGACTTTGTTGATTTATAAGTCATTAAATTGTATAGAAGAGATATATAGGATAGGGACTAAAATTTACGCCCGAACATGAATCGAAAAATCCAATCCTGGAAATTTTCCATCGGCCGACTTTAAATGTTTGTGAAAATTGTGGAAAACTAATAATTCAGGTAGGCAAGAGTTATTATCATCGACATCTGGTTTTAGCAACGATCGGCTCTATATCCTTTGCCGGTCAGGTAATTTTGACATCATCGACGATGGTATTGTTTTCAATTTATACATATAGGAATAAACACTGTTCTATAAGTTTAATTATGTCTACTCTATCAATATATGTGTGCATATACTCAAGAAATACTCAAGATTGATTAAGAAATTCCGATTTGTTGTTATCATAAGCTGCATCTATGACAACATGACAGGTGGAGGTTTACAGATTTCATGATCATGCAGAAATGATTAAGATGCAGTATTCAGTTCATTAGTATAATTATGTAGAATGAAGCTTTAATATGGAAAAATTTCATCTGCAGTTAAGATTTTTTTTGGTAATTGAATAAAAATTAAAAAAAGTCGATGCAGATATGACATTCTAGGAAACTCTAAAGGATTTTCTCTTGATTCATGAAAATCAGGAAAACAGGTATTAGTAATTCATATACATTCTTTTTATTTTATTTATTTTTATTCGACATATTTAAACATTCTCTATTGAATAATCACTATTTGCTACAGGTAGAATACCCTCCTTTGTGTAGTATATATATACATATAGTTACCTTGTGCAGTCATAGCATGATGTGGTATATATAAAAATGGCAGCGTAACGTTTTTGGTATACGGAGACAAAGTATTTGAGGGTTCTTTTTTAATTTTTAAAAATTTTTAAAAATGAAAGTAACCAGAGAAAGAAGTAAAAAAAAATATAATTTAATTTTCTTAAATAATATAATAATTAAGTAAAGTTTCTACAGTGGTAGAATGGTTTGCAAAAGTGTGCTGTATTTTTTCAACTACTCTAGCTGCTCTCAAGTACTCCATATATTCTGAATGACACAAACGTTTTAGGTCATTATATGTCAAGTGAAATTGGGAAATATGTGTTTTAGAAATACATACAGTAAATATTAATTAATTAAATTAATTTATGAGCTTTAACCTAAAGTTGGAACTATCCATGGCACAATTCTAGCCTAACATGAGCCTAGAACTGTTTCATAACAATTGTTATCGAAGATATTGTCCTATGCAAAGTATAGTAGACTACGAGTTTAAAATAGGTTTCTGGAATGTAGAAAATGTGATGCAATCAAGGCAAACAGCAGAGGCAGTAAAAAAAGTAATCTATAATGACAAGATAACGGCTATATAAGTGGAATTATTTTGTCAGAGTGTTGAGCAACAGTGTGGTTACACTACTAAGCAAGCTTATGTAAAGACAAAAGGGGAAGATTGCCTAAACCATCAACAAGTTATATCGGAGAAGTTGGTGTAAACGACTGTAAGCATTAAGCGGTGAGTAGAGGAATTTGAAGAAACATTGTAGCTAAAGCAATCATCCAGCAAATATTGCAAGTTTTTTTCAATAAGTTCTGTTACTGCTTGCTGAGTTCATCAAACCTATGATATCTTACTATACTTTCACTTTAGCAACTGCCAGAATATCAGTTGAAGGTATATCAACGTGTAAAATGGTACTCTTCGAATAGTATTAGTTATTCACGATAATAAAGTTACTGAACCTATATATAAGATTATTCTTCATTTACAACCACAATTACTTAAACATCAAAGTAACCTATAATATCCGTAATATCTTTTGTTATTATTAAAATATTAAATGGGCTTAAAACAATAAAGTCATATAAGGATAAGAAGTTAAGATAAGGAACAATGAGGATGAGGAACAATTTTTTTTTAATTATAAAGATATAATAATGTATAAACATCATATAATAGTAATTACAATATCTTTAAACTAATTTTATTATATTATTATATATTATATTATACTATATTATATATGTAATTATATTTTAGAAATAAAATTAGAAATAAAAGTACAATGAAACGTGAATATTCAGTCATTCATGGAATTTTGTGAAATGTCTTCTGAATGTCTGAGTAAAATATTTAAAAATAGATAAACATAGATAATTATATTATTATTGATATAGAATATGGCGCTACGACCGTCGGGTTTACCTTCGGGGCTTCAATAAAGAGTTGTATAGAATCTACTTTACAGAGGTTAATTGCATCTTCTTAGGAGTCTATTCCGTATGTACATTAGCTCAGGGTATTACATTAGCACAGCATATGTATGGCTGACTCTTCATTCTCTTCGCAGAATCTACAGTTTGCTTTCGTATATATGCTCAGTCTTGTAAGGTGCTATTTCAGTTTACAGTGTCCTGTTAAGATTTTTGTGATGATTGTAAGTTTTTCTTTTGATAAGTCCATACAATCTTGATATCTCCTATAGCTGCCAATAAGTAATTGAATTGTTTTAATTCTGGTAGATTATCTCAGTAATTCTAATTGTTCTGGTTCTCCTTTATTTTTATGAGAGAAAGTAGACTACGAGTTCAAAATTTTTATTTTTATGAGAGAAAGTAGACTACGAGTTCAAAATGATTGTAAGTTTTTCTTTTGATAAGTCCATACAATCTTGATATCTTCTATAACTGCCAAAGGGTAATTGAATTGTTTTAATTCTGGTAGATTATCAAAGTAATTTTAATTGTTCTGGTTCTCCTTTATTGTTATGAGAGAAAGAAGACTGTGTTTTAATTTCTATATGGTAGATTGAAAATATTATACCTTTCCTCTAATGTTCTCTACAGTTTATCTTGATTAGTTTTATTTTATGAAAGGTCAACTAATTTTGATGTATTGATCTAGATCAAGGTCAAAATATCTTTTTGTATAATAGATTTATAGAAGACATCCAAAAGCGTTTACCTGACATGTACTTCCAAACATAGGTACACCCAACATAAAAATAGTGTACTGCAGTGCAGTGTTCATTACTGCCGAGTATATGTCGAGAACATGCTTGTGCTCGTAAGCATTTTGTGGTAGGAGAAGGCGTCTGTTATGGGGTTAAGATGCTGTTATCACATTTGCTACAGCGCAAGTACAAATTTCCATACAGTAAACTACATTGTAAACAAAAAGCTAAAGTAAAAGTGTAGATACAAAGTCTCATATAGTTGCGTCTGCACTGTTGTTGTAGTTTTTTGCATTCCTTAATTTGGAGCAATTAATGACGATGTGCAGAAAAACATCTGTGAAAATTTTACAAAACACCAACAAATCAGAGCAGCACCGAAGCGAAAACTTCTGCACACTCTATTCACTCACCGAAAGTTTGAAGGTCAGTTCGTGTTGGCGAGTCCCGCAGGATGTTTGCAATTCGGTATAGAGACAACACACTGTGCATTAACTGAGGCCCACAAAACCAAGGAAAACAAATTTGGAGTTGGATGTCATAACAGTAACATATGCATAATTAATTGTATCCATGGCGACTGAAAATTAATATCTTGCAAAATTCAGTGCAAAATAGTGCTCCGCTTAATTATCGGAAAATATTGGATATTCGTTATTGGTTATTGAATAGATCTAATTGGCCAAAATAATTAAGAACAAAATTTAACAAAAATTGTGTAAAAATATTTAATTGATTTGTGATTTGTACAGATTTTGCAAATCAGTGCAGAGAAGTAGGAAGTAGGAAGTATGTAAAAAATATATTCTATTTTTGTTCAAGGAATAAAGGAAGTGTTTGGTGTGGCCTATTAGCATTTTGTGTTTATTTACAAAATGGAGACGTGCAGAACTTGTGCTAAATGTGATTTCGAAGATGATAAGAGTTGGTTCGATTTGTTCCATCCAACATGTTGGGAGGAGGAAATAGGAAATATACGTATGGAAATTAGTTACTGGAAATTAAAGGTAATAATTATGTTTTTATTCATTACTTTATCATATTAATCGCGTAAATAAATAGTATAGTACTTATTTTAAGTGTAGCTTACCTTTATAATAATAATATGGATTTTTGGATATATACTACAAAAATTAAGTAGCAATAATAAATAACGTCTTCAAACCAAATTTTTGGAATTCTTCAAATTTTTACTTATATTATAAAATCCTAACGAAATCCTTTTAAAGTCCTCTTATATTTATTGGTGTTTATTAAGCAATCTTATTAATGGGGTTACCATATGGTCCAGTATATACTACATATATAAGCCACTAAAACAATGAGAGTGTAAAAACGGTCAACTTTCTTTTGCTGCTTAAACCCTTTCTTTTAGGGTAGATAATGTTTGTCGGATTTTTTTCTTAGAATTTATTTTACCATGGTTAACTTCACTATGGTTAAGTTTTCTTATTCATTACTGTAAAGTATATTTCAATTATTATTTAGATTGCTGCTAGGTTTACATACACGGTCGGATAATAGTTAAAGTTGTGAACTCGAAGTTACAAGGCTCTTAATTAAAGTGCTTGACCTTTATTGATTTGTCATTCCAGATATTCAATGGTAGAGCAGTATATACTTTCAGTGTATATTGGCTTAAATATAATTGTGGATTCAACTGCTTAATTTAACAGAATATTAATTGTCATTGTTCAATCAAGTATTTAAATTGACTGACACTCGACATATTCGACTAATAAATTGAGATATCCCTTTTCCAAATCCTTATAAAGGGTGCCACTTTAAAAACTTCTTCTTTTTTGTTTAGAAAAACAATCGCTATTTCTTCGCTCTTAAAGAGTACTCCATAACATTATTGTTGTTTCGGAACAGTGTATGCTGTTATAAGGCATTATCAGTCAACTCTAATTTTATTATATATACATATATGCAACGCTTTTAACAATATATGACTGCAAAATAATAGAGCCATATACACTTTTTAGTGTTAAAATTTCTTGACATATTTTTTTTAGTGACGCAAACTGAGCCCGGTAAGATAACAATTGCTTTCTTAAATGTTGGGCAACATATTCCTAACAAATCTGCCCATATCCCATAATCCAAGATAAAAAGGGTATTCCTCCAAACCAGCATCATTTAATATATGCTGGTGAGCAACTTGAACACGGTCGTACCTAGTCTGATTATAATATTCAAAAGGAATACATTCTTCATTTGGTTTTCAACCATCTGCGGTGTATGCAGATATTTGTCAATACTTTGACTGGTAAATCTATCACTGTGCAAATAGAAGCTCCGCTCCTACTGGCAGCTGGTACCCAGTAGTAGCAACTGATATTAACATACTATTCGATAATAGTAATAGTAAAATATAATCCTTATAGAAATATGTTGCTAACTTAACTATTAGTTATATTTTTAATTTTAAAGAAATATTGTTTAACAATCAGAGTAATATTTATCCTAATATCATAACTTCTATTCTATTCTATTCGTCCAAATGTCATGAAATTATGACAACACATCAGTTAACGATCTATCTTACTAACGATCTAATTGATATTGGAGATTAATATCCAATTAAATGAGAACAGGGAAATAATATAGGCATATATAATAATTATTAGAATTCAACGGAGCTCTTATTACAGTGGATCATCTAAATGATCACAGACACTATTGGGTAAAAGTGCTTTAGACACTAACTCACGTTTGATCAAGTAAAGAAAAAGAAGAAGAAGAAATATTTCTAAAATATTTCACTGACTTATTTCTTAATTCAATAGTTTATTCCTTTTTTAGGGTTCTTATATGGGAATTAAATTATATATTTTAATATTTATAATATAAATATAAAAATATGATTAACAAATATATATTTATTGTAGATCTCACAAAATGATGGTCTGCCACAGAAAATTTGTGTGGATTGTTTCTCAAAATTCTGTACAGTTTACACATTTCATGCAGAATGTCAGGAAGCACAATTAAAATTAAATAATATCTTCGATAAGATAGATGCACAAAGTTTGGAAGAGGATTCTATAGATAACTTGAGTCACAATAAATTTATGGAACTAACAAATATATATGATGAGACTAGTGATATCATTGAAGAAGAACATTCTAATAGTGCATATAGTTTAAATACTGCAACTAATTTAGTGGATGAAATCGTAGAACAAGCAGAAAACTCAAATATATTACAAATGGAGGTTTCAAATGTAGCTAAAGCGACAACTTCCGCTATAGTAACTTACACTGCCGTAAATAAGAACTCCAACGAAATTGTAGAAATACCACCAAAATCACCACCACCAACAACAACAACGACAACGACCGGTCCATTAGTTGAGCAACAATTAGCTGAAGTTGATATCTTAAGTTATAATCAAATAAATGAAGATAGCATAATTGATCAATTAGTTGAGGATATGATTGAGGAGATTGAGCCAGAAAGTGAAACACATATTACGAATACTGAACTAGAGACTGCAAATGGACCAGATAAAAATGAAATCGTATATACTTTTGAATGTAAATTCTGTTATAAATGTAGAGCTGAAAATAGTAGAAACTTCTCTACCCAACAGGAACTGTTAGCACACATCACAGCCATGCATAATACTGAATATCCATTTAACTGCCCGCACTGTGAACAAGGTTTTCAAGATGCTGCTTCACGTACAGTGCACATCAAGAATCAACATATTGAAAAACATTTTAATTGTGATGTTTGTGGTAAAAAGTATGCAGATCGTTTCAATTTACGTCATCACATTGAGAAATATCACAGTGACACTGATTTCGAGTGTCTGATATGTGAAAAACGTTTCTATTCACGTAAGAGTCTTAATTATCATATGAAATGGCATAATCCTGCTCGACAATTTAAATGTAGCCACTGTGATCGATTATTTATTAACCAGCGACATCTGAAGTGTCACGAAGAAACGCATACAGGAGTTAGAAACTCAGAGCATTGCACTTTTTGTGGAAAATGTAAGTACTCTACAATATAATATACATGAACGTGCCTACAATAGATCTTGAAAATTGAGGTCGTTATGCAAGAGTCGTTATGTGTCTTCACATTATCTAGTATTTATTGGTATAAAAACAACATCAAACCAATTTTTGAAGAAGCGCATCTATTTAAAAAGTATTCAATTTGATTTTACTGTTTTTGATTGAAAAAATATATTAAATTTTCAGTTTGTTAGATGTACATTTTTAAGACTCAGGCGTTTTGATCTCTGCAACTCCTATTGCGGAAAATAAAAATGTTAATATGTGTATATGTTATATACAAAGTGTGGTAATAATTATCGATCATTCGATCATTACTTCTGTATATAACTCTAATTCCAGTTTGTTAGACATATATTTTTAAGACTCAGGCGCTATAATTTGTTCAACTCATATTGCGATAAATAAAGATCGTAATATGTCTATATATATACAAAGTGTGGTAATACTCATTGATCATTCAATCATTATTTCCCTAATAATATTTTAGATGGAAGCTGAAATCTCTCTTTAAATGTTTTAGCTAATCTGCCCTTCCTATTTTGGGCCAACTCTATTTCTGCATGAAAATATAATCATCCCGTAGAAAAATGTTATTAAAAGCTATATTCGTATATAATTTCTATAAAATGTATTTTGTTTAATTTATAATCTTACGGAGTTAATAACAGTAGTACCAGACCATTTAGGGGTGTCATAAAATATTACAATTGAAGAAATAATTTTAATAATCATTATTTCATTTACAAGTGTAAGTTTTGACTATATATAAATTAGAATGTACAATATTCTAATTAAAAAAATTATTTTATTACAAAACATACACAGTTCACATGTAATTTGAACGTGAGTTTAGAATGCAGGATACAGTATGTTTCGTATATTGGCTCCAATGCATTTAATTGATTTTCAAATAGATAAGGCTTTAAGGTAAAAAATTTTAAAATAAATCTGATATTGATTAAAGCAATTGATCTTTTATATTTAATATCATTTTATTTTTTATTTTATGTAAATATAAATTTAGTCCAAAAAACTTATCAAAAATGAAAATTTAGAAAGGTTTCAAAGGTTACAAACTATATATGTCCATATTTATGGGAAGATCTTATATTACTAGAAAAATATTCCATCTTTATAAACACTGTATTTTAAGTTGTTGATTTGATGAAAAATATTGAATTTTTTTTCATTCATTACGTGGTTCAATATGATAGATAAGAATACACGTCTTAATCCAAGTTTTAATAAAGTAAGATCAAGAAGCTTGTCAGCTATCTTTTTATTGATTCATACGACATAAAATTTTACATTCATTTTTTGATGATAGCCCAGATTAAACGATTTTTGGTTTTAAAAACTTGAACTCTTAAAAAACTTTCATTAGTCTGTAATCTGTCACCGCATCCTGAGAAGATGAAACCTAACGGAAACATATTGAATTAAAATATATCTTAAACTAATTTTAGGTTGATTTAAATTGAACAACTTCCCTATTTGTTCTGTGAGTCTGATTGATATAAAACTTTATATCCTTTTTTTGACGATAGAAAAGCTAAAGTCCTCGTGTTTTATGTTAATATTGCTTAGTAGAAAATTTGAAAACTGTCTATACCCTTTAATCTCATTAAAAAAATATGAAAGTTGATAGAACTTTGTTCTCTTGGAATATCCTGTCGTAAGATCTGAATTTAAGTTTTGATAGATTTAGATTAAAAAATTTGTCAACTTTTTTGTGGACGCTAATGAACTATCGATTTTAATGACTTCACAGAGTTTGTTTCTTAATTTTTATAAAGTATGTCCAATAAGAACATTTCGAATATATATAGTTTCTACTAAAAGTGTTTAAGAATCATCTGAAACTTTATTATCAGATGCTTCATACTATCTTAGTAGTAAATAGTACTACTAGTTTGGTGCGCTGATTTAGATTTCGTGATCAATTCTATGTCTACTTTTTAAATATTGTTTAACACTCTCTTTTTTAAGCTTCTCTAATTTAAGAGGATGATTCAAATGCGATGATTTCGATTTCGTGATCAATTATATGTCTATTTTTTAAATATTGTTCAACATTCACTTTTTAAACTTCTCTAATTTAAGAGGCTGATTCAAATATACTTATTAACAGATTTTATTTTTGTTGGATTTATTGGAAGACTATAAGCCTTACCTTAATTATAAACAATTTTAATAATAAATATTTTTCATCCTTTGAATAAAGTTACATAATATATAATAAATCTTTAATAATTTTTAGCTTTCATACACTTAAAAACTTTACGCTGGCATATATATCGGAAGCATGGTGGCGACAAACCCTATAAGTGTGGCAACTGTACAGAAGGTAATTTATTCTAATTATCAACTTTAATTATATGTAAATATATAATGCATTTCATCAACACTTAATTTAAACTGTAAATTTTTATGTATTTCGCTGCGGTATCTCTGTAAATATAACGCTAACAATTTCTTTATGAAAAGGGTAAACACATATAGTTTTTAAATTTACTCAAGACCCTACTCTACACTCTACTCTAAATAATCAACTGCAAATACAAAATTGCATTGCATGCCAGTTTAATCACTAAATTCATATTCCTCTAAATATTTCTAATTAATAATATATTAACACCCATTTGATCCAATAACATTTTTCATCAAAGCACTAAGCGTTTTTTCTTACTCCTCTCAAAGTATTTCGGAAAGCTTACTATCAAATGCATTTATATATATTTTTCCTTCTTTTCTTTAGCTTTCGATTCTTACATAGAGAAACGTTTACATATGCTAGATCTACACTTGGAGAATTTGACTTCTATTGAAAGAACCGAATGTATGCTCTGCCATATACGTTATGAAAACGAAATAGACTTAAAGGAACATATGTTGGAAGAGCATAAACAGGCCCGTAAGCTGACCAACAACAATAACAACACACTTATCATTGCCAATAATAAGCGTATTTTACAAAATAAGAAACAGAAAAATTATAATGGTCTACTGCAGTGCCAGGTTTGCTCACAGCGCTTTAATATGAAATCAGCACTGGAGCGTCATCTAGCCGTGCACTCTACAGAAGGACGTCCATATGCATGCCCACAGTGTTCAAAGCGTTTTAAACGCGCCCAAGACATGAATTGGCACATGAAAACTCATTCCAATGAAAAACCTAATATATGTGATGTATGCGGTAAGGGGTTTGCACTGAAATATGTGCTAAATCAACATAAAAAAAGTCATGAAGGTATATATCGCGTTATAAAATATATCTAATATTTAATAATATCTATTAATAATTTGTAATTAGTTTTAGAGAAAAATTTTACTTGCATAACATGTGGACGTTCATATCTTTTTGAAAAATCATTGCGCCTACATGAGCGATCCCATTCGCAGCAGAACTATTACAAATGTGGACTTTGCAGTGAAAGTTTTGGAACTCATATTAAATTAACTTGTAAGCGTTTTGAAATTATAATTTTAAATAATAAAAGTTTGTTAATTAAGTTCATTACTTAATAATTAAAAAACAATTAAATATTTTTTTTAGGCCATATGCGTAAAACGCATGACACGATCAACAATAACCGGGAACTACCTTTGGATGAGTTGATAAATATTGTGATTTCTTAAAGAAAAAAATACTACTATTCCAAATATATATAATTATTTATTTCAAATACAATATTTACCAAAGAAATATATATCTTAAATATATTTACAAATTCATTTAAAAAATATATATATAATACTAGAGACTACTGCGAAAAGCTGGAACCTGTTAGAAGTATGCCTAGAAGACTGGATTGCACGCTAAGCCTACTAAAAAAATGTAATTGCTCCGCCACGTAAAAAATACTCGAGAAAGCATTACATTTATTTATTAATTAAAAACAATTTACTTTATTAAAGCACAAATCATTAAAGAAAAATTTTAACGTTAGTTAAATGCTCAAAGTATATGCATTTATTTTCAAAATTTGTTATAGTTAAATATTTTTTATTAAAAAATTGTTTTAGAGAAAATTTTACTATGAATATATATATAGATTTTGTTGTAAATCTTGAAGAGAATATTTAAGACAGTTTCTTATTGATTAAATCTTAATGACTAAAATTATTTATACAAAGAATATTTCATTTTCTAATTGTTGGACTTCAACTTAATTAAATAAAATTTAAAAAATTATATAAACAATTAACAATATTTATTTATTGCCATTGGTAGGTGCCACCAAGTATTAAAAGTGGCTTTCAGAGATAAACGTAGATGATTGTGTTCATTGATAGATACTGTAATGTATTAAAATAGGCTTTTAGAAATGGATCTAAATGACAACAAAAAGCATCATTAAGATCATTAGTAGGTGCTACTTAGTATTAAAATAGGATTTGAGGAACCATCATCGCATCATTGTGATCTCAGTATGTTTAAAAAATATATACAATTCCTTTAAAATCTTAAGAGATTTTTTCAGTTGTGGGAATTATTCTTTTATTTTTGAAAGGGTGATTAAGTAACTTATAGCCAAGACAGTCTATCTTTGGCTACAAACTGACTTACAAAACTTTATATCGTAAAAATATAATCTTTACTTTTTAATTCTAATGAATGCTTTAAATGTTATTAAACAGAATATCTTTTAAAATATATACAAAAAAAAAATAAACAATGATATATTAATATATCTTGTATTCAAAGTCTTTGATCAATTAGTCTGTTATTAAAAATTTATATTTCAATAAAAAAAAAATTGATCAATAAACAATTTAAAAGAAATAAATTATTAAATTAAAAGTTACATCAATCTCATTCAAATTTGAACAACTGCATCATTTCGGGTACGAAAGCACAAAAAACCTAAAGTGGGAAATTGGAATATACGAGCTTAAAGCTATAGGTAGAAAAATATATGTACATATATACCTCAATTTTCGTCTGTATATACTAGACCTGCATATAATTCTCAGCCGGTTACTAAATGGGCAATGTGGGCGCAGATACCATCTCAATAAAATCCGTATTTTAAAATTCTTATTTGCCGATTTTCTGAAATGAATATTGAAATGTCTGTACATATTCTCTGTTAACGCCCTTAACTTAGCAACAGTTGATTTATCCATTTGAGAGGCTTTTGTGCCTTATCACATATGTAAAAAATAAGCCATAAGTTTAAGATTCTTAAAAGGTGAAAATGTTTATTAAAAGGCTGATGATCGGTTAATATAATTGAGGTTAGCACATTACACCGCTTGAGTCCCAATGCAAAGTATTCCCTACTTAATAATATTAAACATGTTGTACCTACGTACGATAAACATTATATAGACTAATGTGTGGCTAAGAGTGTGCCGTTTCTCATTGTATTTAAGGATGCAGTCAACATAATATGTTAATAACTAAATATAAGTACAAAAGGTAGAAGTACATATAAAATAATACCAGAATTGTGGAAATAATTAATAGCTCATGGAAAACATAGTAGAATTAATTATCAACTTATACAGTTCCGATAAGGTATCCGATATTTTCGTAAAAACAGATACATTAATATTATGATATATTATCACATATGAGATCCACATGATATATTTTTAAGAGTTGTGGCATAATTTAAAGAAATTGTTCAAGCATTTATTGGAGTTCCCATTTTTCTCATATTTTTGAATATATAATGTGTTAAAAACTGAAGTCATTGTTGACTTGTTCGCATAGACCAATCAGTTCAAATACTTTCAAAATTTAATTTGAAACTTAATTCTGGAGCTTTCAGATAATTTCAAAAATAAAGAAACAATGTTTTTAAATATATGCACATGCACATACTCACTCCACCTTTCTTTATCACAAGTAATTTCTTACTAATCCTTTACGTGAACTATATACATATGTATATCTCAAACCATATTTGTTACAGCCAAACTTCTGTAACTCGAAGACCAATTTTGCAAAAAAAAGGTTCGACTTATGGAAACTTCGAGTTAGAGAATTTTTTTATTTTATTTTTTATTTTTGAAAGAAACTACTATTTCATTTTAAGATGTTTATTTATTTATTTGAAATCAAATACAGCACAGAAGTTATAGTGATGTAAAATATTCAGAAATTATGGTTCCAGATTTTAATTTTTTTTTCTAATTTTCAGTAAAAATAGATTCAAATATATATCAAGCGTTATAGTGATCATCAGTTGTAGTATCATTCATTTGCAGTCTTCTTCTTCATTCTTAAAAAATTGATAAACAATTTCATTAGTTTGGAACAGTGAACGAAAACAAACACTAAAGTACAAAACATAGTGTACTGTTTGTCATCTTTGTTAAAAAACACTAAACGAACAGTACATTAAAAAAAGTCCGAAACAATTCAATAATTTTTAGAGTTTGTGTACTTTTCACGAAGGTAGTGCTCATTATAACGATCTTTTCACGAAGGTAGTGCTCATTTTAGTTATCTTTTGCCGAAGGTAGTGTACTTTTAGTGATAATTTTCCTAAGGTAGTGGTTTTTTAGCGTTTGTCGAACATTGCTTTGACTTAAACTCTTACGGTACGTACCGAGTAACTGAATATTTAGATTACAAATCCCTCCTACTAAGTGCATATATAAGAAGTTATTCGGTGTTTGATACACTCTTGATACACATTGATACACTCATAATTTATTTATGTAATTTAAGTTCTATTAAATTTCATTTTAAATAAATAAACTGGTATTTATTTATTGAAAACAAACTGTATTTGTTTTTATTAAAAAGGTAAACATAAATGCAACTCTACAAATGCAAATTGATTATAAAATAAACGCACACATTCATATGCGGCAAATGCATTAACAAGTTGTCAAATTGTTGGCCAATGAAATAGAACCACATTCCCGCAACTCGGCAACACTTGAATCTGCGATTTACTTATCTCACTCACACACACAAATTTCATATATGGGCATATGCAGAGCTGTGGGGTGCGCTAAAAATATTTTACTGACGTGTGTTTTGTCAAAGTATTCCGAAAAACATTCTCAGTTTTTGTTTTTGTGACTAGAAAACGGCAAAATTCTATTCATTTATAGGTGAAAAGTACAAAAGATCGAACGGTTTAGCCGTTTGAGAAATAGATAAAAAAGAATTCAATTTAAAATCAATGACTTGCCTTTAAAATGCCTTTATTTTGCATAGAATTTTTAAATTTATGATATATTTTTGATTATATGTACATATCTGTGTTGTCACGTCAAGTGGACGCGTATGTGTAAAAAGTAAATAAACTGAAAGTGAAATCAGTGCGTAGTGCCACGCATTTCAGATTTTTTTTGACAATTTTGGCAAATTAAATCAATAATTAAAACGATATTAAATTTTTATCAAATTAACAAATTCATGACGATATGGCGTTGTCGTTGAACGATATGCTGCTTATGGGGGGCGGCGAGAAGAAATTAGCTGCGTGCATTTTGTTATTACTCTTGGAATTATTTTTGGAAGGTCAGTTGAATTGTTTAAAAAATATTTGCATATTTTAAACAATAAAAAAAGTACTAATTGTTTACTAATAATTGTTTTGCTTTTATGTTACCGTATATATCTACATATATTGAACTACAATTTTTGTCAACTGTGCAAACACGACGACGAAACAATAACAAACTGCTGCAATTGAAAACAAAAACAATAGGAGCTGAAGCGGTGCCGAATAAAGCTGACATTGAAAATCACTTAGAAATGGGTAAAGACCTTTTAGCACGTGGACAACTTGCTGATGCGTTAACTCATTATCATGCTGCAGTGGGTTAGTATTACTATATTACTGTGTTACTGTATTACTTAAGTGTATGAGTATAAAAATGTTATAATTTTTGTGTTTCTTTTCGATTATAGAGGGCGATCCCAATAACTATTTGACACTATTTAAGCGTGGCACAGTTTACTTAGCTTTGGGAAAGACACGTTTTGCCATACAAGACTTCACTAAAGTTTTGGAATTGAAGCCAGATTTTTTGGCTGCTCGGCTGCAACGTGGCACAGTTTATTTGAAAACAGGAGAATATCAGTTAGCCTACAGAGACTTCGAAGACGTTGTAAGTTAATTATAATGACTAATACTATGTTTACATTATGGTATATTGAAATTCCATACTTTATAAGTACATTTTTAAATGGATAAGTGTCCATGAAAAATGACACTTATTGCTGGACAATAGTCGATAGTGTGTATCTCATACAATCACAAAAAAAAAATATAATATAAACTTTATGGTATACTATTATCACTTTGATAATATTTCTACAAATCTTTGTGATTTGTGGCTGTATATTTTTAGATAAAATTCATAGATTTTAAGTGCATTGATTTTTTTTAAACGGGATAATAAACAATAATCTGCTTTGCTGTCATTATTGAACGATTCTTACGTTTTATAACAAAGTATAACAAATACAAAATGTAAATATTTCAGACCTTTTGATTCAGATAATTTCCGTTCTGTTTTTTGTACCAACAAAAATAAGATTTTTTTTCCATTTTCAATTTAGTTTCGGTACATTTTTTTTATATTTGTGTTACAAATTAGTTTATATAATGAAAAAAAAAGAAAAACTTCTGCGTTTCTAAATAATAATTATTTTTAAAGTTTCAAAATCGATAAGAAACTAATTCCTCTTGTCAGAAACTGATTTTGTAACATTCTTCAAAGAGTATAGTTAATTTTTAGAATTATAATGTTTTATCGCAATTGAAAAAGTGATCTTATCAGTTATCAGAATAAAATGTTTGAGTTCGTTTAAATAAAATAGTTCACTTCAATGAATCAGTTTGTTTAAATGAAATAGTTCGATTCAATGAATCAGTTTGTTTGAATGTATCATTTCGTTTACGGATTCTATAGGTTTAGTTTAGTTACAAAAAACTTGGAACTTAAGCATTGAAAGTTTGCGCAGTCTTGGCTATTTGTAGAAAAATATGATTAGTCATCGTTTCGAATTTGACAGGCACGAGTTCTAAACCTGGCACTTACAGTCCAACAAATTATATACGGACTATAAACTAATTAAATAAAAATTCGAATATTTTCTAAGATAAGTAAATGATGAGCACTTCGGAATATTCGAAACATCGTTGTATGGTCACTTTTCAATAAATTAACCAAATCTTTGTTCGTTGCTTCTACATTACTGTTTCGACCCTTTATCACTAGACGCATTACATTCGACAAAAAAATATCAACTTAAGTTTGGTTACTTCACATTTTCGTTTTGAAAAACAATACTTTTTTAATAATAATATTTTACAAAACATACAGTCTTTTTCTCATCCGGTGATTCAGGTTCCATAAAATTATTTACCGAACAATGAATTCATTGCAGAAGGACATACGGTAAACGCAGAATATTATTTGAGAGATTTAAAACAATAGTGGGCCCGAATTCAAAAAGTTTCATTTAAATATTGAGAACCAGGAAGTTGGTTCGTGTTGCAGGATTCTCAATCGAAAAATCATTATTTTTATCAATTATTCATCGTATTCACCTTTTTTAGTTCTGTGCAACTTCTGGTTATTTGCCACATTGATGTGGACGATGAAATGAAATCGTTTCTATATTATTCCGGTCATCTAAAAAGTTTTGCGTCAACATACTAAAAACAATAAGTGTAAAAATATTTCGATAAATTTTTGTTAAACATTACCAAAGTTGTGTTGGCTTGGAAGGACAAAAAAAGCGGAATAATAAACGCTCTTTACATTTTTTTTTATGGTACTCGTCTCATCGGATCTAGGTCAGACGAAGTTCAGTTATATCATTTGTTGTATGTGCAATATTATTATCCTTTAAAATATATCTTTGTCTGTTTGTTTCTTTTCACAAAATTCTGATAAATTTAAAAATATAATGATGAACAGATTATGTATATATCTATTAGTAACAAAATAAATATTATAATTTTTTAGTTATCCGAAGATCCTCATAATGCTGTTGCACATGAACACTATGGGCGTATACCACCAGCTGAAGAACAATGGGAAATAATTAAAGACTTAATATATCGTGGAGATCATCATAACGCTTTACATATGCTTACACAATTGTTGGAAATCTCACCATGGTCAACAACATTCCGACAAACTCGCGCTGATCAGTACATTGCCGTCAATGATATGCTCTCAGCTATTTCGGATTTACGTTCAGTTAATAAACTTTCACAGGACAGCACAGAAGGCTACTATCATATAGCTGTGTTATTGTATAAAATAGGACATGCGACTAGTGCGCTTAAGGAAATTCGGGAATGTTTAAAATTCGACCCAGAGCATAAAGACTGTTTTCCATTTTATAAGAAATTACGTAAAGTAGAAAAGGGACTATCAACCGCTGAACAAGCGCGCGATGAAAAACGATATCAAGACTGTATAGCGGCTGCGGAAACAGCGCTGAAAAACGAAAAAGAAGAACAAATGATTATTTTCGAAGCGAAGCGTTTGCTTTGTACGTGTTACGTTCAAGATGAACAACACACTAAAGCCTTAACGCATTGCAAAGACGCAATTGAGATAATGCGCGATGCGCAAGTACTCTGTGATCGTGCCGAGGCATACCTTGGCTCTGAAATGTTCGATGATGCCATACGCGATTTTCAGGCTGCACTGGAAATCGATGAAAGTATGCAACGTGCCAAAGAGGGTATCGAAAAAGCTAAAAGACTGCAAAAACAATCTGAACGTAGGGATTATTATAAAATACTGGGTGTGAAGCGTAATGCTAGTAAACAGGAAATCATTAAAGCTTATCGAAAAGCCGCACAGAAATGGCATCCCGATAACTTTAGAGATGATGAGAAAAAAGTTGCGGAAAAGAAATTTATTGATATTGCAGCCGCCAAAGAAGTACTGACAGATCCTGAGAAAAGAAAGTAATAATAATATTTCTTCCTATATCATATTCGTTATATTAACTTATAAATTGTTTTTATCACAGGCAATTTGATAATGGAGAAGATCCACTGGATCCTGAAAGTAATCAACAAGGCTTCCGTGGTGGTAATCCATTTGCACACTTCCATCACGGATCACCGTTCCAGTTTAAATTTCACTTCAATTAAATGGCTTCAGGATTTATTATTAAATTTAGCTAAGTTATTAACACTAACGGACCTATTCTGTGCATTTTACAGATTTGTCAAATTCTTTAAAAAAATTTTTGATTTTTATATAGCAGAAAGCTTTTTGGTATTCTGGACACATCTTGACAAATTTCAAAGCTCAAGTACCTAGTGCTTCTCACCACACTATGGTGTAAAGTGTTTTATATAGAAAACTGTTCCTAATTGTTCGTAACTGTACGTAAAAAATGCTTGTAAAGAGCATATATTTTAAGTTGTCAAAAACATTTTTCATGCATTCAAATAACAATAAAAAATATGCTTGTAAAGAGCGTATATTTTAGTTAAGAATATTTGTGATGCATGCAAATAATAAAAAATGCTTAAAAAGAGCATATTATTATAGTTGTCAACAGCATTTGTAGTATTGACAACTAACAAGGAAAAGAGTTTTTTATTTATGTCACAGAATACCACAACCTTTATAACAGTCAATTTTGACAAGTGTCAATGTTTGACAAGTTTATAAAGTGCACAGAATAGGTATGTAAATTTAAATCTATTGCTGCTATTAAAAATATTTTACGTACTGTACAGGGGAAAGCAGGGGGAACATTCTGAATTACGTAAAATTACGAAATATCCTTTCCATAACTGAATAACAGAAGTAGTTCGCTTTCTGAACTACGCATTTCAAACAATATTTAAAATTGTGATTTCTGATCTTTGTTTAATAACTAGGCATCTACTCAACTTCCGGAAGCACTCATGCAATTCTTACCTGGAGATTAACTTTACAATTTTGCACTCTTAACTTATAAATGCTTTATGTAAATAGTAGGTTAATACATTTCTAGCTTCTTGTTAATAAAGTAATATTTACCAAGTACCAAGTAATCAATAATAACTTAAAGTTAGATTAATTAATATATTTGTTTTTTATTTTAAAAAAATGAATTTTGTAAAAATAAGAGAAAATAAAAACATAATATCATAACAAAAATTAAATTTAATAATCACTATAAGTGATATTGATGTTTTTTTTATCGTAGAGTAAAATTTATTATTAAAAATGAAATAAAATAGTGATTTTAAATTTGTGAACTCACATGTTTAAATAAATACATAAATAGATTTAATAAAAAAGTAAATAATTTAATAATAATAAATAGACCAAAAGTCGATTTTCTTTAAGCTCTTTTGTCTGAGTTTATATCATAATAAACTTTTAGATAACTTTTAGAATTGATTTTTGTAACTATGATTAAGAGTATTGTGAACTTTTGAATTTTATCTTATAGTTGTCACCTACTAAACAAAAATCAAACCAACAGAGTGCTATATCACTCGTAGCTCATCGGATTATTGAAAACAAGCATATGAAAGGATGATAGGACATTTACAAAAAGAATAGAATTGCATTGTGTAGGGGAATTAAATGGGATTTAAATATTATCTTATAGTTTTCACTAACTGCGTTGCAAATTAAATCAACGGTATTGCGACAACAGTGGCTCCCAGAATCTTGGAAGCAAGCATATCAAAGTATAACAAGATGTGAGAAGAAAGAAGAATGAAAGTAATGAAATTTAGCTTATTCGTGGTTTACTAGCTAAATCGGGTGGAGTCTAAAATCGATAGGAGTCATCGATAGATGTGTGGGCAAGAGAATTTATGAGTGAAATCATTGGGTAGAAATGGAAAATTGCGGCGTTCATATATGACAAGTAATTGTATAACACACGACTATATCTAGAAAATTTTTACTCGACTCGAACAGTGTCCCTGAGATAGGCAGGAAACTAATGATCTGCAAGCCTGGTCTAGAAGACTATACTGCTATAGTATGGGAGGGTTACTATAATTTATAATCGATTTGACTAATGTTATCTATGTTGCGGTAGGTGTTGTATTCTTAAATGAGAAAGTGGATCGGAGTAATGAGGGAGGGTTCTGTTAACCATGGCGCCATTTCGATGCTTAGCTGTAGCAATATGAATTAAATTTTATGGTCCAAAACTTTTTTCAAGTAATTAAAAAAATAGTAGACCTAAGTGTAATAGAATTTCCATCCCGAATAATCTTGTCAATATATATTGCTAATTTAATACCATACATTTTTCACTCGTAGTTGCATTGTTCACAACGATGTCGACCCAAGCCGATTTCCAAAGATAAATAAAATAGCTTTATTTATATAAGTGTTATAACATTATTTACAAACACTAGATAAATACAAACACTAGATTTTGCAAATGCCTACGTTCCAAGCTATTATTTTTTTGTTTTTTTTTTCACATTATCTTACAAAGGCAACTCAAGACAGCAGTGTGTTTCGTAATTAGTGCGAAAGAGCTGTTTTGGTTCCACTATTGTTTATAGATAGGGCTGGCAGAATCAGCAGCAACGTTGAGTAACGCAACTTGCAATTATCACATTTCCAATGACACACATGAGATATAGTATTTCCTTTTTGTTTTCTACTTTGTAGGCTTCCAAATGACTGGTACGATCTTGACTGGAATATGTATTATTATATATAAGATCTGTTGATGAAAGTGTGAGTGTATGCAAACATCTTACCAAAGTCCAACCAATGTAGACGCAGTACAAGTTTGGTTTGAATAGTGTTATCACAAATGTTTTCCTCAAATGGTTGAGTATAAGTTAAAAGATTAAGTTTGAACAATAGCATTGCAAGTTTAATATATCAATATTTCAGTTACCATTTAACAAGATCTACCAGAGTGATAAGCTGATCGCTATAGAAGTTCTATTATCAATGCAATTAGCTTGAACCCACAAATGTATAGGTCACCTCGGCTTCTATAGAATTAATGATACGTGAATATATTTACCTATCAAATACACAATATATAATTTGGAAACAATTGTATTAAATGAAACCAATTAAAGGGTTATTTTATTATTGAAAATTTTATTTAAAACAAACTGTTTCGTTATTACAAATTTACTTAACAGAATAATATGTAGTCACTTAATATTTTAAATAACAAACACCAACATAAGTAATATCAAAACATATATTTTTAATTTCAAATTAATGCAAAAAGAAAGCATATATAAATGCAACCAGTACAAAGCACAAAATTATGGCCAAGCTCTGTTTCAGATGATATTTTCGTTCCAACGTTTGAAAGAACTGACGTATCGGCTCATCATCATCATCAGTATTAATAGGACGTCGAGTTTTTGGAGATTCATAATGTAAAGTTGATCGGTCAGCACGTGCTAAAGGTTTGTTGAAACTACTTGTTAGATGCTCAGTTCTTCGCTGATAGTTATTGAATGTTTCTGGATAATCGTCACTGCTATGGCCAGCATCTACTTCGCTATTAGTGTCGTATTTATGTTGAGTATTCAAAGTATTACGTCCACGTTTACGAATTGGAGCATTTGACTGATATGTATTGCTGAGGTAGTCTGGATTTGCTGTTGAATTGCTTAGAAATAGCGATTGAGGCAAATTTGGATACAATGTATTTTCTTTCCGAACATTATTTAAACTGCCGAGTGGTGGTGTATTTACTGCTGTCGAAAAACCGTACTGCATGCTTGGTGACGAAGCAGAGCCTAATTTCGAGTCACTTAGATATTCGTAAGGAGTTGAGTTCAAAACGCTATGGTATGAAGAAGTTGAACTCAAATTGGAATATCTCGGTTCAGTCGTTGGTTTCTTCACTTCACTTGTGATATAATTGAAATCCTGTTTCTGTGTGCTATAACCACGTTCAAAGCCAAGGGGGTTACTTTGTATTGGTTTCGGCATTTTAAATTCAGTTTGTGGTTTTATTTCTGGTGAACCATAAGAGTAGTTTTGACTTGCTCTATTAAAACCATACGTATTACTGGGCGCATCAATCATTTCGATATCCTCATCCTCTTCTTCTTCTTCATATTCATCTTCACCAATATCGGATGTTTCAATTCTTTTTCTTTGTGGTGCTTCTTGATTATAGGAGGTTGTTAACACTCGCGATTTGGTTAATGACACTGAACGCCTTAAATGTGGAGAGTCACGCGAATTTCCTCCTTCGCTTATAACTGGACTAACATAAGTGTTATCATTTGTATTAGTTGTTTGCGAGTTTGTAGTGAGTGTTGGTACACTGCGTTCATAGGTTCTTTCATACGTGTTTTGATTATTAATACTAAAGTCCGTGCCAGTACGCTGAGTTGGTGAAATGCTAAAATTATAAGCATAGTCCGCAGTATAACGATTTTTTGCTGTTGTCACAGTGTTATTGTTGCTTGAATCGGAAGTATTTTCCGTAATATTGCTTAACTTAGTTTTATTTGTTTGAGCAGGAGTGGAAACATGCACTGTTTCACGGCGTGTTGTTGTCTTTTTTGCTTTGGTGTCAACCTTAGGCGAACCATAAAACGCAACGCGCAATCTTTTCAAAATAACACTTCGACTGGTGTTTGTAACTGGTATGTCTGGCAATCCATATTCCAAACATTTTGTATGTAGCTCCTTATTACTTAATGTGTCAAAATTGTCGCCCGACATTTTTTTAACGAAAATTCTAATATTATTCTCTACAAAACGACAAAAACTTAACTGAGGTGACGAAATTTCTGAATATAAATAAATAACGTCATCGACAGTGTTGTAAAATTGTTTTAGCTTGACAGTAGCGTGAATCGCGCTCTTTTCAGCAGGCGTGAAATGCAACACAATTAAAAAATAAAGCCGCTGTAACAAGGAAGTAAAATTATTTGTAAACTGAAAATACGAAAAGAAAAAATTTTTACATAAGTTTTAAAACATGGCCTATATTTTAACTTTTGCTTACTTGCGTTTTACATGTTTTATATCAAGTTATATTTAAAATATATGACAGCTTCAGTTAGACTAATATGAAATTATGTGATTTCCAGCGATATTTAAATATTCGCCTTAAATTATATTGAAATTATGTGGTTCTATATATAAAAATTGATAAACAGAATCATATGAAATATAAGAATTTTAGCACTCTCTATAATCAAATCGCGTAAAATACTGAAATATTACTTTAAAATTGTATGTGATTGATCAAAATTGTAAAATTTTTATTGAAAGCGTTTGCTATATAAGCGGAAATATAAAAAGTTTAAAAATAATTGGTACAATATTGTGAAAAACTATTAATTGGCAAAATAAAGCTAGGAAAGAATAGTTATATTTTGGAGAAGATATCTGAAAAACTGAATTACGTATCAGTAGATTAGATTAGAATAATAAATAATGAATAATAAATATTGAAACATTTTTTGAAAGTTATGATCTATAATTATCTATAAGATTTTTTTAGTAATGATACAAAAATATTTGATAAAGTGCCCCGCACCAGCAGCCTAGTTGCTATATTGATATTCATCAAATATGTTATTCATCCAAATGTTTCAACTTTATCAATTTTTTGAAAGGTGTTTTTAAAAGTAAAATTTGTCTTTTGAAATTGTTTGCATAGAATTGAGTATTAAAAGGAATTAAGAAAAGACAACCCCCTTCTTAAATTAAGCATAATGAATAATTTAAAATTGTCAAACTTATTTATAATATATTTTAATTTAAAACCAAGCAAAGTATATGAACTTTAAAAATTTGAAGCTAGTATGCGCCCAATATTTTCCGCGCACTATTATTTTACAACATGTAAAAAATAATCAGGTTCGCGATTTCAATTACTGTTTAACTGTTTTATGTCATTGCAAACAATTTATAATTTCGTGAAATAATTTAACCGTAAATACGCCACTCCGACTCAATGAAAACGGGTTAATAAAGAATCAAAATTTTAATATAATTTTTGAAGTATTAATTATATTATTTAAGAAAATAATTATGTTTCGAAGTACATAATAAAATGAATTAGCCGTTGTTTTAAAAAAATATAATCATTCTTTGATAACGAGATAATTTCAAAAAAATAAATTTTTCGTGATACCAATTTTGGCCTCAATTCATAACTTGTAATGTTTTTAATAGGTATTTCTTAACAATTAGTTTTTAGACTTGAAATATAGTTTTGTTAAATTATTTTTATTGCAATATAAATATTCTATATTAACAATTGCTTATTGATAATAACAACAAATATGTTAGTGTTGGAGTTAGATTTCTATTCGAGTTATTCCAAAACTCTATAGAATTAGAATTATTAATGTATATTGTTTATGAATTCTTGAAAACTATTTTATAACACACACAAATAAACGTTGTAGCAATCTTTATACAGTTTTGTATAGATTTATACAGTACACCGTAATCGGACTGGTGATTGCGCTATTATCCTCATTATTAATTTAAAAATATCATATGTGATGTCTACCTAAAAGTTTTTGATATTCAAAAGCTGATTTAGTTAAATGAATACAAAAATAAGGTTGTTGTTTTTTTTATTTTTTTATTGAAATTAATTTATATTAAAATATATAAGAAATAGGAAAAAACAAGTGATTAACATATATTACATACTTTAGTATTTTTAGTTCCACAGTTTATATTAATTGTTAAAAAAAACTAAATATTAAATTGTTTTAAAAATATTTGTTTTTAATACAAAATTTGTACTGTAAAGATTAAATTTACAGTGAATTTGAATTATTTAATCGGAAACGCCATAGCTTAATTTTATTATAAAATGCAACTCTAAAAATATTCTATGATAAAAACAAAATCGACGACTATCGCTTTAAAAAATTATTCGCGCTAAACAAATCGACATTTTTAGCAGGTATATAATATATTTAATTTCATTTATTTTATTAATATTTTAAATTGATTTTCAGTGTTATATTAAACAATATTTTACAAATTTATTGATTGTTGATTTGCTTCATTAATGTTAAAACTTAATGCAATTGTAATTTGATAAAGTGCATTTGTCTTGAATATTAATAGTATTGGGTTGCTGCTATGTGAGCTTTTTTCGATTTTAATCCTTTGTGAAATATTTTCCGAAAAAAATGTAACTCTTCGTTGTAATGACACAAGTATTTTTCTTTCAATTTACTACTTACTTATGCAATTATTTATAGCATTTTTTGCAATAATTACACTTGCACTCTAATTCATTATTGAATTGCTTGCATTTACAACTTTCACAGACGAACCTGTAAATGGAAACGAAATAAATTATTTACTTTAATATCTTCTTTAAATTATGTTGAATTAAACTAAATTAATTTCAGATTTGTATAATATTATATAATATACATTTCATATAAAAATAAATTATTTTTTACCTTAAACTGCTTTCACACCAAAGCGAACGCTGACCAACGAACAAATATTCACAGGTAATCGTACCTGTAAAAGTTCGTTGGTTTGCAAGTGTTCGCCTTGGTGTGGATGCATCATTCTGTGTTTTATTTATTAACATATTATTAAAAAAAATTATATTACCTTAGCAGCTTGGCTACAGATTATAGTCGAAATATTACTAAGGCGAATGTTATGATTGCAGTCACGTCACTGCAATTGTTATTTCTTTCAATGCAAAATAAAAATTTGACACTGATAGCTTACTTCATTTTGTATTGAAAGCAACAACAATTCCATGTTTCTAAAAATATAATGTGTTTTAAACTAATTCATTTATTTTTTTTCTATATTACAGGATTCTCACACTCTAATTATGCCAAATTGATCATAGACCTTGATTTCGATAGCATTTTTTAAGTATTTTTCGATAATTATTTTTCAGTTTTCCAACACTTTAGCTGACATCGATTACACAGTGTTGAACAATGCGATATGCCATATAAAAAATTTCTATTCTCTTTAAATTCTTTTCCACTGTCTAGTTGGGCAATTTTTTTTGAGTAAAGCGGACACGGTGGAGAAATTGTTGGTTCCGTAGCGATACAATTATTTGTGTATTTTTTTTTAATTTTATATTAAAAGAGTATTTAATTTTCAAAGATATAAAAACAAGTGGAACATAAAGTGTAAGTTAAAATACAAATTGTAATAAACAAATTAGTTAGAAAATTAAAATAAACTGAATTAAACTCTTAATTGAAAGTCACACAAAAAGCCGATTTTTTCTCTGCATAGCAAAATCTTGCCGACGATACCAAATTCGTTGACAATGGCGGTGTGGAAATGTACAAGAAATTTTATTACTACAAAAGAAAAAAAAAAAAAGAATAAAACTGGATGCTTACGTTGCTACTTTTAAATATTGAATTAAATTTTTTTTTTTTAACCTTAAAAACTGTTTTAAATTGCATTTATTATTTTCTGATATTAGTTACGAACTGCAGATTTTCATTTTTAAGGTGGTGGCAATAGACAAGCAATGCACAGCACAACATGTTCATAAATAAAAATTAGACAGAGTCTCTGGCGTACAGAGCAGAGCATTTTTCAATTGTCACTTGCTGTTGGTGTCCCACTTAAGCGATCGCTTGACGTTCCATCGTCAGTTAACAGCACCAATCCCAGTTTAAAACAATTAATTACATATGTACATATGTAAATACGAACATAGCGCAGCAGTACAACGCATATTCCTTTCACATCTTTTCACATTGTTTCTTCAGCAATTTTTTATGATGCATTTTCATTTTTATCGTTTTTTTCTTCTTCTACTTTAAATGCTTTATTTACTATATCTAATTTTTGTTATAAATTGTTTTTGTACTTTCTGTTTTCTGTGTTTTCTGTGTTTTTTATCTGCAACTACAACTTTGACGAATTTATTAAAGTGCACAAGCAACCACTTTGTTAGGTACTTTCTTTCCGTTGTTGCGAAAGCGTTTACAATTCGTCCCGTTCGTGCTTCTTATTTATTATTTATTATTTGTGATTTCATTGTTGGCTCGGCGTCCCTAATTAAGCACTTAATTAGCATAGTACACAAAAGTTTTGCAAACATTTCGAAAATAATTTTACAAATCTTAAATTTATATTCCAACAATAAATTCGTTTGGCCTGGGTTGGATGGCAGATTTTTATCGTTGCACTTTCAAGTACAAAAAACCAAATTTAAAAAAAACGACATATTTTGCTCTTAAAATCCAATTAAAATGTCTGACTAGAATATTTCATATTAATTTTATTTTTTAACCAGTGCTAAATATGTTGTCAAGCAAGCAAAATTCTTATAAGAATGATTTACACTAAATGCATTAATATATTGAAAATGCCCAACTATAAAACTACACACATTTTAAAGTTTCAATTAAAAAAATTTTTTTTTTGTAATCTTCAGTTGATATATTTTACCTGTGCGAATAACGCATGACAAAGAAACACAGTTGCTTTGGTTTATACCGTCAACCGATGTTTGCTCTTCAAAGGCAGGCGTTGTTAGTATTTTCCTAAATTGAGTCATAATAAGTGTAAGCGTATTTCCCATCAATTCACAAGAAATTGTTGCAATGACAAATTACAACAAACATTCCAATGTTGCAGCTAATATTCAATAATAATTGGAAAGCAACAAACAACAACATCAACCATCAACCCGTCAATCTTTCTCTTTGTAGATTGAGTGCAATTCCGAATTATGTCCGAATCGGCATTATTAATTCGGTTAATTTTTTTTTTCAACGAAATAGACTCTTAAGTTAGGATCCAAAGATATTTGCTGTTGGGCTGTTGATGTTTGTGGTTGTCTTGTACTATTTAAGAGTTTTAAACAGCCGTGTTGGTTGTGTAGTCGAACTTGGCGAGTGGCTATGGTTTAGCCATAAAACGGTCTT